AGACTGTGTAGAGTATCCATGCATGCCCCTCGGCCGCCCCTGGGATGTCCCCGCCATGTCATAAATTCGCCGACTCTTAGCACATTCGCCGCCCGTCTTGGGAGGCGTCCCACCAAGGGGGCATGGCATGTCTGTGTCTACCAAGCGATGCTGTCATACATCTATCCTCATTCTGCTTTCCACACGTCCAAAACGTGGCTGTGATAGTGTTGTATGGTGTAATATAACGCCCTGTCAGCTGTTAAACAACAACAAATATGCACTCAAGACATATGCTAGTTCTCGTTGATGCATCCACCTCCCGCCCCAACAGCCGAAGCCCGAGGCAGCTAGTTAAGTGAGCTAAAGAATATTCTGTGTGTTAAGAATTGGGAGCTGAGAAAAGAAACCACCTCGGCTCGGATTTCAAGTATGACTGGGACGAGATATACGCTTCTGGGATCCCTATATCTTCCGACTGCGCCCATGGTCTTGCATTTAAGCATGGTCCTACCGATTGGCTATGGGATGATACAATCAATACGAGAATTTGGTTTGTGGTGGTGCATATGTACATTATTGTCGCTGGGGGAACCCCCAGGGTTGTCAAGATCGATGACATTGCTCACGCCCTTCATGTTTACGCACTTCTGGTTAACTTGAAAAGGGGTAATTCCCGAGGAGTCCCGGTTAGCTGCTGTGTTTTCGTTGGATAAGTCTGGGAAGCGAAGTAGCATGACTCCTTAGCCGAACGGCTACTTCTTGGGTTTACATGTGCATCGATCATAAGCATAAAATATACATTATCCATTACTAGTATTGTTAGATGCCCATAGAGGCAGCGTGTGATTAATATTCCGCCATGGGCCTTCTTCGTGGCCAATAATAAACTGTAGGGATTACCCAGGACATCACACCCACTCTCTGAGTGTTTCATTGAGAGAGGCTCAAGCAGATTAGTGGTTACTCCAAACTATTCATCTGATGAACAGACAAACACTATTCAAATGATGGAATTTTGTTTTGCAGCAACTGGTCTATCTTCACGTAACTCCTTTTCTGCCAGAGCATTCATATCTTCCTCCTTAGCATTGTAGCGACTGAAGAGGATCCAGAAAATAATGCCGGCCACCGCCGATGCGATAGACAATCCAGTATACATCCACTAATTCGAGGTTAGAGATGACCTACTGGTTACCATGGAGAGAAGATCAAACTTACCACAAGTTTAGGATCCTTAGCGACAGGGGATATGGCCATACCAAGGGCAGCACCAAATGCAGAGGTGAGCAAGAACATGGCCATGACGAATGATTTCATGGAAGGAGGCGCCTTCGTATAGGCGTATTCTAAGCCAGTAATGCTAGCGAATATTTCAGAGAGACCGATCATAAGATATGCAGGAGATTGGATGGCAACATGGACTTGATTTGGCAACTTTCCGTCCTTGCTCGCATCGCATTTCATAGGAGTGTTGTAGCATGGGGGGCTACTATAGATGAGATGCTGCACAATAGCGGCATAAGCCATTGCAATGGAGGCGAATAGGAAACCCGTGGTTATGCGTGTAATGGGCTTGAACTTAATACCTATGGTTATATTAGTGGATGTTATATATTTTAAGGGGAAGTAAGTACGACTTACCTCTCTTACGCAGCAGAGGATAAACGATCCTATCACAGATTGGAATGAATATGATGATTGCTAGAGGGTTAATGTTCTGCATAATATCGTTGGGAATCCCATGAAGTTGCATAGTTGCGGCTTGAGACACAAAGTTATTCACCATCTGCTGGTAACAAACCCAGTAGATAGGAAAATAGCTATATAACTAAAGTCAGTAATGGGAAGATGTAGGTTAGAATGTAAACCACTTACATGAAAACTCGACAAGCTACCAAGGCTCGTTTCATTTCATCCACGAACTGATCATCCCAGGGAAATACACGTCCACCGTTGTGCCGCTGGGAGGAGCTTTTAGCAGCATCTAGGTTTCCTCCATTTTTCATGCCAATATACATGACCTTGAAGGCACGAAGATAGATTGAGCCTTTTGGTGGCCGGACAACATAGAGTTTTCGACCCACAATCAGTACGACGAACCCAGCAATAAACATGCAAAGAGGAAGCAAGTAGGCAGCCCAGAATCCAATGTGTAGTTCTAGTTCCGTGGTTGCGATTGCAGCCAGTGATCCAGTGTTAATACACATATAGAAAATCATATCTGTGGATTCAATTAGCCTAGTCCATTGAAATGCGGCAAGGGGCTGATATCACTTACAGACACGCTCCACAGTGCGTGCAGGATCAACGATAACCCTTTCACCGGACTTTAGGGTCTTTATTTCAGGTTTTGTCGCAGTCACTTGCTCGGCAATCAAAGGGGATATATTGGACTTGATTCCGCCTGTGCCAAGCCCAACGATAATCATTGCTGCTACCAAACCACCAAGGGACGCTCCATTCTCAATGGCAACAGGAAGTGCTGTGCAGAACAGAACAATGAGGCCGGAGATATAGATCAAGGCAAAGATTACAATGGTGTTGTACTTTCCCATGTACTGATCTGCAATGATAGCACCAATGATGGGAGTGACATAGCACCAAAACTACAGACATGGAGAAGATTAGAGGAGTTCTGAGAAATCAACCGGGCCATCCATACCTGGAAAAAGCTGCTAAGTCCCGTTGCTGTGGATTGGCCAAGCCCTATTCAGAGCGTAAGTACAAAGACGAAGAATCTAGTTAACCATCAAAGTAGCTCACCAATCGCTCCAGGAACCCCACTGGGCTCCTTGTACTTATGCTGCATATAATTCTGAATACAACAGTTAGTGCGATAGTTCATAATGCTTATGCCCTAAGAACTTACCTGGAACGGCCCATTTAGACCATAGTACGCGAATCGCTCGCACAGCTCGACAATAGCAACGAGGAATGCCGACCATGGCAATTTACCGGCCACCTTTCTCAAAGTCGCAAGCTCCTCCTCTGTTGGCTCATTCTCGCTAGGGGTCGAGACAATTTCGCACACAGGAGAGCTGGGTGTTTGCTCAGGTTCAATGTCTTTTGGCTCAGCCATTTGAACACGTTTACCGTGGATTGACCGGGCTATTTGGGTATAGATATAATGAAAGGGATGGGGAAGTCTGAAGCTCTTGATATGGAGACGAGATGAGAGGATGGTGAGCAAAAAAAGCGCGTAGGTAGCCTAGCTGGGTATAAGAGGGAAGTTTTCCCACAATTCGACTGCGGGGTATCAAAAAAGAAGATGGTGGAAACATCATCAGGGTGGCATGGGAAAGTGAGACCGGTGGTGACGTTACCCCATGGTCCAATCCCTATTATGGTATGTATGCATCCATGGGTGAGTTTATAGTGTGTCAACCATGGAACTTGGACATTGTGAACATCGTTCGCCCTATGACGTTTTTCCACTTTGTTCCCTTGCACCAAGTTCAACGGCGGTCAGTGTTCTTTTATTTTCTAGTGCATAGCGGAAAGGAAAGTCGGTCGTGTATTCCCTTTTATGAGCCTATGCCTAGAAGTTGAAGATATGAAACATAGCATATAAAACATTGTTTACTTTATATGACGGCTGTGAGAGGAACTAAGCTTTTGCCCATCCATGGTCAAATTCAACCAATTTCCGGTCTTCTCATAACGGCCCAGCCTCCTTTCGCCTTGTTGATTAACTAGAGACTGGGAAGATTCAGCATAGACCGGTGGGAAGTTAATTAATAAACTGGTCATCGGCTTAGCCTGGAGTGCGTGACTCCTAGAGAATCGCATCGTCTCCCCGGTGGCTAAGAGATAGCTATAGAGCAGTATAACAAGATCCAAGGGTATATCCAGGTGGTTTTCGCGGGGCGGCAATGTGGCAATTCTCTCTTTCTCTCAGATTAGTTATCGTTCGTCGCAACGCCACCAGTTGGCGGCCAGAGTTATCCCCCGCTGGAATGGAAGTAACCCTATACAAAGTACGCCACGAATCTGCATTTTTAGTTCATGTAACTTTCCCTTCCGGGCAATGTGGCTGGTCGGCTTTCCAACTCGTGCCAGTCCTTGTGCGAAGGTGCTGTTTGATACTTGTTTGATACTCCGTAGTCACTCTACTCCATAGAATTGCTGAGGTTGAAGTGTTGAAGTCGCTTTAGAGTGACCACTGCTGGAGACGCACTAGTCCCGTTTGGGTAGCGCGAAGCCTTCGGCGGCTTTTGAGCCTTTTCAAGCTTCAACCAAGTCTATCGCCTGGAGCAAGCAGACGAAGGGTCGTGGTTTTACTTTTCTACACTGTCAGGGAAGTCTACGAGATGGAGAATTATTCGCTCTTAGATCAGGCGGATGAAGGTGAGTCCAGAGACCGCTTAGCTGGAATGCTAGGGGCGACGAAGGCATGTGCAAAGCTGACCAACTGTGACAGATGGGCTTCACAAATCCCGCCTATTAAACGTTGAAGAGAAGCCGTTCAAGCGGATAACAAAGCGCCTGCTTGCCCCAAACTCTCTAATATCCTCGCCGGCTTCATTTCTTGCAACTCCGCCCCCCGAGGCGACGCCTGGAAACGCCGATGCAATCCAGGAACATGAAGCAGAGAAGCAGAAAATGCTGGAGGAATGGAGACAGCTTCGAGAGGATATAACCTTGGATTTTACCGCATTTGAAAGCAGCCTTGTCCGAATCCAGCTTCTCCTGGCAAGTAACGAGAAGGAGCGGGAGCGATATGCGGCGGAGAAGCTAGAGATTATGGCGACCGCGCAAGAGGTTCGAGATAACACCACTGAGCTACGGCAGCAACTTGAAGAAGCGCAGAATACGCTTGCTCTACGAAAAACGTACGACGAGTTAGCGGACAAGATCACTTCTAACCGATTGCTTCGACCACGAGATGATCAGCAGGCGAACCTAGAAAAGCTGCATGCTGAGATTGCGAAACTAGAGAAGGAAAGCTCAGAATACGCGCAGACATGGGCCGAGCGAAGAGAACAGTTTGGTCGTATTGTTGACGAAGGGATGCATCTTAGGCGATTGATCAGAGACGAAAAGGAGGAAGTGGAGAGGCGAGAAGGGATGGAAGAGGACGACGACGGAGATGAAGGGGATGCTGGTTCCAAGGGGAAGAGGAGTGCGGTCAGCACGCCCCGGCCAGACCCAGAGAATAGCGTGACTCCTTCGCAACAGACCGGAACCGGTACTGGTGCTGGAGGGGAAGAAACGAATCCTATGGTTGCAAAGCTTCAGGCCGAGAAGTCTGGTCCTGCAACGCGTGGTGGCACTCCCCTTAGGCAGACCATTACTGCATCAGAAACTTCTACTCCAGAAGAAAAACAGGTTTCCAAAGACGACGGAGACGAGAATATGGTAGATGAGGGAGAGATTTCTGGGGACGAAGGGGAGGCTCAAGAGGGGACGACCTCGCAGGCTATTGAGGATGATTTTGAAGAAGGAGAAGAGATACATGATTCCCGGTCTACAGAGAAAATGGATACAACTTAGTCGACATGAGTGTTTGCCTTCAATTACTTCACCTTGCAAATCGTGAACGCCAGCCGCAGAACACACCAGGGCTTAAGACTTGACCCATTACTTACAATAAACCCTGAATACTTATTCATGAACTCGTTTTCACAAACACGGGCACAATTACAAGACGGAATGACCAATGAATTCCTTACAAGCCAGAACATATACATGTACAATTATCACCAGCCATTACGCTTGCCCCCGTTCACCGGTTTCCTCGGGTTAATGGTCAAAACTCCACGACCTACGAAATCTCCCTAACGGCGGTCTTGGCATGAGAGATCGCTTCCTTTGCAGCAGTTATCTGAGCGACGTCGCTCTCCGCGCCCTTTTGACCTTCTTCAGCCTAATACCCGACGAAGCGACGTAGGGATTAGTTATGATTCACGAGATAGACAGCAGCTAGCAGATGTAGAATGCAAAACTCACAAGCAAACGCTCCAACTTTGCAACCGCCTCGTTTATCTTCATTTTGAGCTGGGGAAGAAGCTTCTCAGTCTCCTCTAGAGCTTTGCGCTGAAAGCTGTTAGCGCCGTAAACACACCTACACTAGAAGAGTAGACAGGAAGGGGTGATCCAACCTCTTGATTGAGCATGTACTCGCGGTTCTCGTCGTCGGAGGTCTCCTCTGATAGCTTCTCGAGACGCTGTTCCTGGTCCTTCTTCTCGCGCTGGTAGGATGCTTCTTCCTTGACCAGCCTCTGGACAGCGCCAGTTGCAATGGAGAGCGGTGTCGAGGGCGCCATTATACAGCACTGCGAAAGAGAGGCCCGTGGGGTATCTTGGACAGTATGCTATCGAGCAGGCGGCCGCAGCGAGACTGACGTTGCTGTCTTTGTTGCTTCGTGAGCTGTGGATGTTGTTTCAGCGTCGAAAAAGCACAAGCGGGTGGGATGTATTCTTATAGATAAGATCACGTGGGTCCTGCTGATGTCATCATGATAGGAGACGTGATATAAAGGACGCCCGTTCAGGATATTCTCATTCGGGCTGATACACGGCGATGGACGAGGGCGAAGGACGAGGATGGCGATGGAGGGTGAGAGGAGCATGAGAAGAGATGAAGAAAACGTCATGGCTATCTTTATGGAGAGCAGCTAGCATCAACTAAGATACAGACGAGTCGGCAGAGCAGCAACAGGCTTAACTACGAGCCAACTTCGACAGTGAGACAGAGCGCCGGCCCTCGCTGGGTATCGTAAAGGCCCATCTCGTTGGAAATGCGCAGAGCAACCTCTTTCCAGGCGATCGTCACCTTGACCAGGCCCGTGGGAATCTTCCTGGCTTCGTCGGCCGGCTCCTCGGCACGCCAGCCCAGCTTCTGGTCGTTGATCGTGTCATCCGAACCCCCAGCCAGTCGCCAAAAGGAGCGTCTCAGCTTTCCTTTTGGTGCGGGTGCCGGCTGCTGCTGCTGTTGACTGTGCTGCTCCGGCTCATGTTCAGAGACGGCGGCGGCGTCAGTGGGCTGCTCGTAGATTCGGTGGCCGGACGCTGCGAGCCGGGCACGCAAGGCGGAGTCCAGCTCAGCGATGACGGCGGGCTGTCGCCAAAACTCCATGGTGTGGCCCTGGCCCTGGAGACGGACGAGCTTGACCACCTCGTCGGAAGGGAAGCCCATGACCTGGGGCTCCTGTGGGGTGGCGGCGGCTGCATTGCCGGCGGCGTCCTGGAGACTGGCGACGGAAGAAGGGACGAGGACGAAGGTGGTCTTGTATAGGCCGTCGCTGCCCTGGGAGAAGAGGAGAGGGTCGACGTATGCAGTGAGAATGGACTGGATGCGTTGTGTCCTTGTTTCTGCAAGGTGCTGTGGGAGCAGAGATGGAGGCGGGCTGGCATGCAGAGGCTGCTTCCTGTCCTGCCCAAAGGAGGCCTCGGACTCTTCGTACGAGGGAACCTTTTCGTCCATTATTATGAAGTCGCAAAGATGACGAAACGGGATAAATAAGGGCTATAGCTATAGCCTGGTTTGTTTTTTATTTATTTTTTATTTTTTATTTTTATTTTTATTTTGGGGGGGAAGGGGGGCCTCCGCAGGCCAGACAGGTATCTCGACGGATGTGCGTTATGTACGGTGTTGGCCTCCCAAGGTACGGAAGACCGGTAGATATATTCGCCAGCCATGCAACAGCGGAGGCTTCGGCTGGATGGCACCAGATTTACCGGCAGGCTGACATGGGATATGCATCATCGCTTGCGCGATTCCGAGTCCCAAGAGCCAGACTTGCTCCCACATTCGCCGGGACGAACCGCCAACCAGCAACCAAACTATCGAAACCCCCTACCCAGCAGCATATGACATATAGTATGGCATGCACTGCCCCAAACAGCACAGGCGACAGGAGGAGCGAACGAGTGCCCGGCAGCTCCAAGCCTTGCGCCATGCTCCATTTCTCCCCTTGCTCACCCGCTCCGCTCCGCCAATGAGGCTGTTCGCTCGTGTCGGCTAGCGAGATGATCCATGGCCAGTTCTGGATCAACATGCGGCTCTGATCTCCGCACCAGCGTCAGCGGAGGTTCGTTCGTTTGAAAGCGCCGCAGCAAAAAGGCGCGTGGGTGTTGCTGGTAACGGTCTATGGAGTAACAGGGAGATGGTCCATGCCGGCAGAGCAGACAAGGCGGCTTTTGCTCGTTTATTGCGCCCCGGGCTGCTCGTATCCCTGGGCCAGAGATGTGTTTCCAAGGGAGAGTATGGGATGGCGGACGGTTCCGCTGGAGAACTCAACCGTAATCCCTGCATGGCAATGCAGTTTGCGCCGTGTAGCCGTTTTTCCGCTGGATATGGGAGCAAGACTGGGGGTTTTAGAGCTTGGGCGATAGCTTGCGTCCCTTCTTTGCCCCAATACGATGTGCGGCGGCTCTCTGACTGTATCGCCTCCTCTTCAAGCGCCGCCTGGCCAGCTGGTTATATAAACCCCTTCGTGGGCTCCAGCTTTCTTCTCTCCCACATCTTCATCTTCATCTTCATCACCACCACGACCATACTCTCTCATACCCATACTCACACTCATAATATCCGGCTGTGAGACATTTACATCCGAAGCGCGAAACACCCAGAAGCTCATACGCTCTACCAACCTCAACAGCTATAATAGCTACACTCAATACAAATCCACATCTTATTCTACGAACCTCCGCTCACCATGTGGTAAGTCTCCGCCGAGAGTTGCTTAAATACCGTCTAACATCACATAGGTATAACGTCTCCGAGCCAAATGAGTACCTGGTCATCACCGGTGCTGGCATCCAAGATGTCCTCATCAAGAAGACGGCCTTTCTCCTACCATGGCAGAAGGTAAAGCACCGTGGTCTACAGAGGCATCCAGGAGTTTCATTACTAACAGCTACTCATAGTGTACTCGTATTTCCATCTCGCCCTTCGACTTTTCCCTTAACTTGCAGGCTATGACCATCGAGAAACTCCAGTTTTCTCTTCCTGCAGTCTTCACCATCGGCCCAGACAACAACCTCGCCTCCCTCAAGAAATACGCCCTTCTGCTCTCTGGAAAACCTGGCCGCCAGGGCAGCTCCTCCCATACGTCTGGAAACTATGTTCAGGATATCGTCAAGGGCATCATTGAGGGCGAGACTCGAGTCATCGTCTCGGGCATGACAATGGAAGAGATCTTCAAGGAACGCCAGCTCTTCAAGCAACATGTTATCGACAACGTTCAAAAGGAACTAGACCAGTTCGGTCTCAGAATGTAAGCTACCGTCCGTTTATATTAAAAGAAGGTCGCAGACTCACATGCAATAGTTACAACGCCAACGTCAAGGAGCTCCAGGATGCTCCCGGAAGCGAATATTTCACATATCTTAGCCGTAAGGCCCATGAAGGTGCCCTCAACCAGTCCAAGGTCGAGGTCGCCGAAGCTCGCATGAGAGGAGAAATCGGAGAAGCCGAGAAACGAGGAAAGACAAAGCAAGAGATATCTAGAATCGACGCTGAGACGGCAGTCCTCGAGACCAAGCGTCGAAGTGATAAGCTCCAGGCCGATGCCCAGCTCACCAACCGCCAGACTGAGCTCAACATGGGAATCGAGCTTGCAAGGATCGAGGCAAAGCGACATGCCGAAGCAAAGGATTCCGAGCTGCAGAAACACGTCGAGACCAAGCGTGCCGAGACCGAGCTCGAGAGACTTCGAGCACTCGATGTCACCAAGAGCAAAGCCGCCAGAGAGGCTGCAGAACAGACCGCTGAAGCCACCTACTTCAGCCGCACTAAGGAAGCAGATGCCAGCTTGTACCGTAGCAAGATGGAAGCAGATGCAACCTGTATGCATATCCATACCCTTTCTCCAGCCCATGTGTACACTCTTATACTAACCGACCGATAGTCTATCGCCAAACCAAAGAAGCCGAAGCTGCGTTCTTCGCTAAACAGAAAGAAGCCGAGGCCATGGCAGAAATGGCAAAGGGCTACGGAGCCATGGCCGATGTTCTTGGAGGGCCACAAGGTCTTCTCCAGTACATGATGATCCAAAGCGGTACCTACGAGAAGCTCGCCAAAGCAAATGGCCAAGCTATACAGGGTCTTCAGCCCAAGATCTCCGTCTGGAACACCGGAAATGCAGACGGAAATTCCAGCGCCGCAGATGCAACCGCACCACTCCGCAACCTCATGCAGTCGATGCCTCCGCTCTTCTCTACCATTCATGAACAGACTGGCATTGCACCACCAAACTGGATGGTTCAAATGCCACCACCGGAGAAGCAGCATCCAGTCAACCCCCAGAAGTTTGCGGGGGCTAAGGCTAACGGGAATTAAAAGGAGGACTAACATTGTCTGCCCATCTGTTCCCCGTGTCTACCTCACTTCTCTTACTTTTTAGTTCCTTGATTTATACCCCATGCAAACCGTCACTCGTATCTTTACACCTCACTGCTATCAGTTTCTGTCAGCCTATACGCGCCTGATCTGAGTGAGTAGGCATTGGCAGAAGCATCTAATGTCTCTCGCTATCTTTACACCCAAGGCTCTTTTCTTTTGTTCGGCAACTTTGATTTAACAATAGACGCATCATTAGCACTAATAGCATTACCTTATCATTAACCCAACGCCAGGATTTATAGGATAATCCGCCACCTAATCAAACTTGTAGCCTCTGAACTTCCTGGTAGGCACACCTCTCTCAAACATGATGTCAAGCTCTTCATACGTCCTGCCCTTTGTCTCTGGGACTCTGAAAAATGTCCAGATGAAACATATCGTAGCAAGACCCTGGAAAGAGGATATTTCAGTATCAGTCTCTAATCCCGCAATTTGAGCCAATACATACCCCGAAGAAAAATCCCAGTTTCCCCCGCCAGTTCGCTGCATCGGGGTTAATCATGTACGGAATCGCAACCGTCATGACGATACCAAGCATCGCTTGCACAGCAGTGGCCAACGCAATGGTCTTCGACCGGACTTTTGTCGCTGAGCATTCGCACAGGATGACGAAACACACAGGCCCAACGGACAGGCTATACGCAAAGTTCCAGACTACCATCATCGATGCCTGGGCCCAGATGACGTTGGGGCGTTTTTCGTAGTCTGGAACGCAGTCGAGGATGCCGATGACGAACTGGAGGACGGCGAGCATCGCTAGGCCGTTGCGGTAGATGGTACGACGGCCGAAATATGCGAGCTCGAACCACGAGAGAACAGTACCCAGAAACCCAACGCCGAGAAACCCGAGCTGTTATTTGTGAGAAACGGAAGCTTGTTTCGAAAGAGGGAAATAGAACTGACCCCCATGTTGAAGGCATCATCGGTGCTAAGCCCAGCAACTACGGCAGAAGTCAGCGCGGTGTCAGTGACTATGCTGGGTCCTGGGGGTGATGGAAAGCATGAATACGGGTGAAGAAATAGTTTGAATAGCCAACAAGATATATCCCGCTGAGGACCTGGATTGCATAAACTCCAACAGCGATCTCGGTGCGCCTAGCGTTCACGCTCTTGAAGCAGTCGAGAAGTGTAGTGCCGGCTTCCATATGCTGCTCCAATCTGTCCGTTTCGATAATCATAGTCTAGAGCGAGGGAAGAGAGCGAAAGGATTCAGCAACAACAGGCTCATGGATTATCCCCCGGGCAGCCACTTACAAGATCCGGTCTGACGTCAACTTTGGACGATGCCAGGCGACGTAGTGATTTCTCTGCATCTTCCGTTCTCTCCTTTCTCACCAGCCACCAGGGGCTCTCAGGGGCAAAGGGAACTGTGCACAGTATCATGGCTGGCCAAACCCACTGTAGAGCAAAGGGCAGACTATACGCCCAGTGCGAATCCAGATTGTGTGTGCCGGCAGAGATGCCGTTGGCAAGGAACTGGCCGGTCACAAAGCACAGGTTGACGTAGGACGTCAGGATGCCGCGCAGGGCCACCGGACAGACCTCAGAGGCATACGTGGGCGCGATGACAGTGTATGTGCCCAAGACCAGGCCACCGAGCAGCTGGCCGACAATCAGGACCTCGAGTGAACGGGCGAAGAACTGGATGAAAACAAACCCAGCCGTCATCGCCACACAAGCCTGTCGGGAAGAGCGCAAGAAAGGATGAGCTGTCCATCTCGTCCGTCTATCGATGCGTGGAGGCCATACGTACGAGAAACGTCCGCTTTCTACCGAACCACTCCATGGGATAGCTCACAAGCAGTGCGCCAACGACCTGTCCGATGGGGCTTCCCATGCTGCTCCGCCACGTTAATTAATACATGATCCGTATGATCCATGTGCGTACCGTCTCATCGCTGCCTGCTCACCTCAGGCCCGACTGCCAGGCAGCGGATATGTTCCACTGGCCCTCACGCTGGTATCCAAAATCTCGCCGAAACCTGGCCACCGGGAACATATTCCCTACCACCTGGGCGTCAAACCCGTTCATGATGACGCCCATGCAGAAGAGTAGCGACCACGCAGTGGCCTTTGGGTATAGCTTGATCGCCTCGACGACGCCCGTCTCATGTCCCTTCTGCGTTGCCCGCCGCACTTCGGCTTCCCGCTCCTCCTGGTTCAGCTTGTGCAGGTCATCGTCGTCCGCCGCCGGCAGTGCCATCGTGGACAGCCCGGCTGCTAGTTTCAGTCTCTGCGCCGCTAGCTAGTTGTCGGCTGGATCTCGAGCTGGCTCACGGCCTCGGGGTGATTCTCTTTCTTCGCCACTGTTATCTTTGTACACGGGGGAGCAGCGGTGCATCTATACCCCCATCAATATACGGGGTAAGTAACATGGGGTTTCGGCCCTCGACTCGTAGAAATACGAGGAGGTGCTGTAGGCATCTTGTACTTCGGTCTCCAGCGTGTCAGAAGCGGCTGGGCGGGCAAGGCCTCCCCTTGATGGGCCATGGGCTTCCTCTAGAGGAGCTGTTGGGCTTTTATCCAACATCTTCGTTGTCAATTTCCCCCGGGTTTTCGTCAGTTTTCTTTGCCTCCTCTACAACGACATCCTCACTCGCCAGCCAGTCGCTGAGGAGTGGGTGAGGTTTTTACGTGAAGATGGCGAGAAGCCGCTATGGGTGTCTTCGCCTGTAGGTCTGCAGAGGTCATCATATTTCCTCTTATTCGATTCCGCTGACGTGCATGTCAATCCTCTTACACTGGCTTATATCTCAGAGCATCGTCCTTGTTCAGTCTAGCACATCTGGACCTGGTCCAGATGGTGTGCGTCTCCGCGGGTTGGATTATCCTGAGGATATTCTCTCTGCGGGAGCATCTTTACTCTCACCCTCGCGCTACTCATGGCAGTGGCGATACTGTTGAATGCCGTTACCAGGACATACAAAGGCATTCCTGCAGGGTTTCAACTCATGGGACTCAATAGCACTGGCATCCGAGCTATTTGCCAGCGGCCCGAGAGAGATTCTCATGCAGTTTTCTTCCCTATCAGAATTGGCGTTGTTTAGAGCGATTCGGGCGAACATCCACACAAAGTAGTATTTTCAGCCGACTCTGAGATTTCGGACACCCAATCACGAGGAACAATACCTTCAGCCTGTCTTTATCCGTGGGAAGGGCATTCAATACCGATTCGTCTCCAGCGCTAGAAAGAGAAAGTTGAAGAGTAATGTCTGCATGGCCGTGGCTCGTGTATGGCATCACCGTGGTGTTGATAATTGGAAACGGTCGAGGAAACACCGTCAGTAGATGTTTATTAAACTTGGAGAGTATCAAGCTGTAATTAGTGGATTTAGATTGTCTGTTTATCAGTATGTTATATCTGGCTCATACATATGAGATTCAAGTGAAGGGAAACAGAAAGATAATGCTTCGTCGTAATATACGCTTGCTCCGTACAAAGATAAACCAAATCACAAGTCGTCAATCCCGGGTGGAAAGGCTTTGTCTCCAATGGTAACACTCCATAGCGTGTGCTGGAAGCTCACTCTTTAACATGAGATATGGTTTCGACGCCTTGCATCGCTTACACATTAGGCCAAGCTCAAGGGTATCGTCTGGCAGTAAATATGGAAATCGTATTGATGCCATGCCGCAGAATTCATTCCGTATTTCGCCCTCCCAATCCGGTGTGGGCTCTCCATCCAGGTCAAAGCCGTCCTCCTCCTCAGGTAGCAAGGGCGGCGAGGGCAGCCATTGCGAGAAGCCATTGGCCGGCCGACTAGACTCGTTCCATACGGACCTGTTTATCATGGGGCCTTGTTCGCTCGGAATCCCATAAATGTCGCTGGGCCACTCTTCCAACGTAACCGGCCTACCTTCAATGGATTCCTTCTGGCCGTGTTCATCCAGCTCATTATCTGGGTCGTGATAGACCCCGCCACACATAACAAATACAGGATGTAAGTCAGGCATCGTGCCATTATTCTCGGCAAGTCGTGCCGCGCCTTTGACAGGGACGAGCATCGGCCGTCGGTATTCTTTGACCTCCTGGTGTTTGTAGGTACCGGGAATACCTTTCATCACAGGAAGCTTGTTAAGATCACGCATCGTGAGTCCGTAGACTCCCTGAGCTATTGAAAGAGAGACTACCCAGAAGGATTGGTTCTCGGCCACACATATATGGCAGCATCGCTCTCCGGTTGGGAGGAATAAAAAGGTACCAAACTCTCCACACGAGACGCAAGCTTTAGACCGCAAGACAGCGTATAGTCTATCTGCCGAATAATAGCGAAGTAGATTAGATTTTCTAAGGACCATCAGGGTATCTGGTATATATTTTATAAGATCACGGTATGGTGGTAGTAGTGACTCTATAACTCTGCCTTGTCGAGAAGTACGCGAAAGACAAGATAGAGACCAAAGATCTAATAGATGCAAGACTTGATATAAAATCTCGAGAGGTAGCCGGTCGAGAAGGCCTAGGGATGATGGATCAGGACGGTGCTTCAGAGTTGATAGTGGTGGCGGTTTAATGTCATCGATTGTGATTTGCTCGTCTGCTGGAAAGTCGAGGGGGCCAAATACGTCTTCATCGTATGGCGTCGTGGACATGGCTGTAGTTATCGCGGGTCTATGTCAATGATGGAACATGGAAGCTTTAAGATATGGGTGAGCCAAAAGAGGTTGATTCTTTTTAGATGATGAGCAAAAACGTGTGGAGAAGTAGGAATATAATATCCTTTGTTATTTACATGGGTATTCTGGCTTTGGTGACGTAACTAGTGCCTATCATTCAAACACGCCGGACTCGAAACATGTAATATTAGATTAGATTATAAGGTCCCTAGTGATCTATTACTAGTACTCCGTAGCTGTCTTGTCTATTCATATCTCGTCTATCCATAATCTTTCTATCGAAAAGCCCTGTTTAACCAGGCTTTTCGTAAACGGTAGTGTTGCTGATGGCCTCTGCCGGTAGCCATTGACCGGCAACGGTGTTCTTGTACGAGAGTTGGGCGAGTGTGAATGTATGGAGTTCGGACACCAAGACCGTAGCATTCATAGGCAGGATGCGGTGTGCCATAGCATTTTGAGTGAGGATAGAGACGTACTCTTCGCCGGAAATAGAGGTGACATCGGAGTCGAATGTCACGCGGATCAGGGCATCGGGCGAGTTATTGCTGAGCAGCGAGGTCGACAGGAGCCACACGGCTGGACCACCAGCTTCGCTCGATGCGTCAGCGATATGCAGGAGACCAGCATTGGCGCCCAGCATCGGGTGCTTGAGCTGGAAGAACTCCATCTTGCCAGAGGGTCCGATACGACCAAACGTGCCGGTACCACCAGTAGCATTGCCAGCGAGAGTGAACCATACACCCTCCATGGGACCGTAGCCAGAGATCATTCCGACGGCGTTGTTGCCAACACTGGGCGGAATTGGAAGCTGCGCCGTCTCGCCGGTGGTGAGATTGATCCGCATTATAGACGAGTCGGTATCTTGCGTGACGTAGATCAAGCCGGTGGTCGGCTCCTCCTTGATAAACACGGGGCTGTTGAGGCATGGGTACAGCTTCTGGTCCGTCGAGTTGGTGACATCCGCCGAGAACACATAGTACCCGCCAGTTTGCTTGGAGGCTACCTTGAGCCCGGCCCAGACGCGGTTGCCGATCTCAAACACACAATGCGGCCCATTTCCTGGTGCCGGGATATCAATTGTTTTTATAATGGTCGGCGGAGTCGCGAGATCCTTGCCGGGATCCACGAGGAGCAGCTTGTTGTCAGCCTGCAGCGTCAGCCACATCATGCCGGGGTACACGGTCGAGGGCCACACGCCATGTAGCTCGGAATAGTTGTCCTTGCCCATGGGAAACGCATGATACGCAATGGGCTCTTCGGTGGCAGGATCCAGCTCGATCTTGATGAGCTGGCTGTCAGATAACTGGGACAGAAGCAGGAAATTTGTATTCGGCACGCGCGCAAACTCGTGTGTGGCAGAGGCAGCCGGCAGCAGATACTCAGTGAGGCGGCGGCTCACGAGCGAGTTGGACGAAGCCTGCGCCGACGCCGTGTGAGCGACGAACGCCAGCGCGACGGCGACCAATTTAAAAAACATGATTGAATGTTGAAGTTCCCTCCGTGATGTTTTTTGAAATGGTGGTTTTTGTATACCTGAGGGCGAAGTGCCCCTATTTAACAGCCACTGTCTGTCAATTCACCCTGTGCAATCCGGGTATCCGCAGCCGGGCAGCAATCCCGTTCCGTCGAAATTTTTGGGCTTCAGCTGAGCCCGAGCGGAAGAGTGAGCTCCCTAGAGACCCAAGATGACCGATTTGGTTTCCTGATACGTCCCAACACATTCCGTCCACGATCTCGACTGGCCAATGGTTTACTCCCACATCTCGCGCTAGTGATTTAGATAGGGACCACATATGCACAAGAAAAGTAAAGGAGAAAAGCCTTGGGAACCGTCCACGAAGGCCTTCGATTTCGACGTGCCAATGTTCTTCGGAATGAAGCCTCAAAACGACGACATGCTTTCCAGCGAATTTTTACTCCTTAGATTGCATGTCTTTGAGCAGTGGTGCATAACGTAATACTGCCTCATCCGCTGTGAGGCCGGGTCCCAATGTCCATCTGCGGGGGACGTTAAGAGCACCACAGGGACATTGCTGGAGAGTGATGCCTTCATCCGCCGCACGCCTGTTTCCCGACTCAATCGCTGGATTGCTGGACTTTGACAACTTGTTTTGACCGCCATATTCATTATCTAGGGGCCTCTTCTGTCCCTGTTGAGCCACCCCCTGTGTCTGCCTGCTGCGGACTGCTGGGGAGGTCTCTTCATCATCAAGAAAGTACAAATCCCGAAGCAATTCAAGTTGTGAGCGAGTTTCTGCATCTAGAGATTGTACTCGAGCACCTCCCAGCACCAGTATTCCGCGTCGGAGTGTTGCTACCGGCGCGCCGTGCCATTGTTTCGGAGCTGAGAGGGTATCTAACATATGAGAGGAAAGATCGCCGCCAGGTAGGTAGTTCTTTAGAAAAATCGGTCGGTACAATCCTCCGCCCGCATCGGTAGGGACCTTTCCGTTGTTAGACTGATGAATCTTGTACTCTTCAGCTGTAGGGACTTTTCGATGAATATCTTTCCCATTTTTCATTGCAAGCTTCTGCTCTTGACGCCCATCAAGTTCAACATCAACAAAGTACTGCAGGTCCGTGGGTAACAAACCAAATCCGGGATCAGCTGTCTGGTCAAACTCGGCGTGGCAGGTAGGGCAAAGTGCAATCCCATTATCGACCGAAGTTAGATCGAAATTAATGAGATTAGCATCGTACCATAGTGGCATCTATAATAGTAGGGAATCATTATCTATCTCTTATTTTAGATCCAGACGTGACAATATTTACTTACCTGTGGATCCTCCTTTCCAAACACTTGGCAGACCTGGGTTGTTGAAGCACGACATGCCCAACATCCACCTCCCGCGAGTCTTTTAACCTCGAGCTTCGTAGCCCTGGAGAACGCGTCGGATTTAGGATAATCACCCTGTGAGGACCTTGTCGACATACTAACGGATCGCTATTGTATAATAGAAGGTAAGCACTTGTCATGCACAGAGTTGGATCAAGATAACTTACGCGTACTGATGAAGAATCGGCGAGATTTGAACTCTCGGTTCATCGGGACAGACGGCGTCGGCTTGCTGGCAAACTAGGCGGGGGCATCTTATCATGGTCAGCCATGATTCAAGCTGTTTGTGCGTTACTGAGATATATCCAGCATCACTTACCTACAGCAAACAGCGAGGAGGCTACAGGTCAACTGAGTTACCTTATTTGGTTAGCGCGAGCCCGTCCACTAATAGACTTCTTATTAATATAGTTCAACTTTGAGCCTCAATTATCATGTGACAACAACTATTCCAGGTTTGTCATTTATTATGTAATCTCGTCTTCTCCTTTTTGCAACAACAACAACAATAACAACAGCAAAACAAGGCAGAATAAAACAAGGAGAAACACTTGCATTCGCGCTCTGCCGGGGCCAAAGAATTTGATTTCTCCATGCATACCTCTGCTGAGAATAAAAAAGAAAGAAAGAAAAAAAAGGACAGTAGAGTGTGTCGGTTGTCGTGGCTTTTTGCTCGTAGTCGAGTGAGGAACCTGCTGAAAGTCACTGGGACAGAAGACGACGCCCAAATATCGAGACACAAACCCCATAAATCATAGAGGAGCTTCTTGTACATCCTTTGCTTCTTCTGCATGAGTATGCAATGGAAATGCTGGATTTCTCATTCTCTAGGGTGCCGGCCGATGACGTACTGCTAATGGTATGCCGTTCGATTGGGTATTAAATTTATCCGCTTTATTATCATCGTCATCATCGTGCGCTTTTATGTCCAAAGCTTTTTTGTTATTGTGGCTCGTCTCTTGATCGGTCTGAGTTGTTGCCGGACCATCTTCAGGAGGATCCGCAGTTTTTGTCTGTTTCAGAGTATCTTCTATACTCGTGACTCTATCGTCAAGTTTGCTCACTTCGCTCGCCAAGTTAGGTGGGTTGCGGTGCGTCGACCACCATATGGACCAGGTCCCTGCCGAGCCGGCCCCAATCAGAATTGCAGTAGAGATTGATACCGCCAACGTCGCCGTTATTAACATCGCAGAACTATCGACGTGGTAGATATCCGCTGATTTGGTGGGACACAAGAGTTTGTTGCAGCTTGTTCTTGGGGCAATACCAGAGTTATCTAGTAAGAAGAGATGTAAGTTTACTTTCTAATTGAGGATTATGTCGATACACTACGTTGATTTTGATGCTATATATCTTCCGAAGCTGTTGTATTTTGGAAAGAATTACAACCACTTCTGCTTCAACTTTCTGTCATTTAGGAGAAAGTTCTGGCTGTAGTGAACTTTAATCTCAGCATTATACCCCGATTCTACTGCTTTCTTTGATATTACACTGGTAGCCTGTACCTCAGAAAGAGATGTATCGGTTTCTCTTTGATTCAACACAAGAGAGGTCTTTCCTGCAAAGTGCTTTCATGCTTGGCAGTTATGCTCCAAGCCCATTCACTGGCTCGAGAACATCAAATACTTGCGATCTTGCAATATTAAAGAGCTTGCACATATGCTTCTGCTTTCATCTGTTTCTTCCTTTATCCAACCCAAAGTGCTTTATTGAATGGACACCATCAATGCTGCTTTTTTTTTTTTTTTTTTTTTTTTTCCCTATAGATCTACAATTGGTCACGGCATCATTTATTAATGTCGCTACTTTCCCTCAACGTCTTAAAAATTTTCATACCCTACAGCCTCCATCTTTTGGGCAGCCCATCGTCCCCATTAACTATGTTTCCTATCGGTTACTAGATTTTTACTCCGACCAAAGGGGTTTACTATCTGGCCCGGACGACCCTATGTTAACCGGAGACCCTGAGCATCGCATATTACAGCTAATAGCTAAGGTGGCTACCGGATATGCGCACAGACTAGGTTAACTTCCCGGAACCTACTACGGTCATGGAGTACCCCATCTTCTTAATATCCTTCATCTCCTTTAGATATAATGGTATCCATTGTGCTGCCTCGAGGATCGGGAGGCCAAAGATCATACGTCACATGGAGGAAAGGAGGATATTCCCCACTCTTCCAATGGTTCATCATTGTACCTCTTTGAATGAATTATTATCCCAATGCCTAATATACCCAGTCTCCCTTTATATTATAGTAAAAGTCTCGCGCTTATTTACCGGGCATGTCCAGCTATTCTAAGATGTGCAATTGCAGCCCTCGCCGCGTCATGTCAAACCACACTAAAAAATGTTACAATCGCTCGACTCCATCAATGAACCCTACAGGTTTTGCTGCTTCTAGTTGAAATTATTTAAAGGACGTCGGATAGCCCTCAACATGAAGGCTCATGAGCTACTCGACATAACTCATTCTAAAACTACACTATTCAAAGCACTTGACCAAGATGGACCCGGCATCCGAACACTCATGGAATCTGTTTCAGTATATTCGCGAGCTGCTCACTGCTCCCGATAAGCACACTCACGACTGGAGCGAGGCAGAGTGTCATAATATTCAAAATAGCCCCCTTTACAGATTGCCGGCCGAACTGCTTGGGATTATTCACGACTATTTGACTCCCAACGACTCATTCGCATTATCACTTTCCTGTGCTCGGTTCTACTTCTCTACCATCCTTGCAGGGGTCCAACGCGACCTGAAATCAACCGAAATGGGCCAGTTCATTGTCAAGTGCATGCTTGAAGGGGTCGGAGAGATAAAGGAGTATTGCTGCCGGGGTTGCCTCACCACGCACCCTTCTTCTCATTTCTCAAAGGATGAACTGGAAAAGCGCCACGTAGAGCGCTATTGCCTAAAAACCAAAAAGGTTCTAGCACTTGGGGCATTTGGGTCATATCCCAAGAGCTTTAACGAGATACAGGCCATGAGGAGAAACAGGGAGTTGGAGGAAGGCTTCAATATACCGCAAAAGAGCTCCTTTTGGGAATTCTTTTCGTCCCCTAATGTATCAATAGTGACCGGCATACGGCTATTCCCCGAAGGCCAACGGGTTTCCGTGGAACGGTTCGCAGAACTATGCCAGAAATTGAACTACCCAGCCTGTCCCCATATGACCACAGCCGACAAAAGAATCGTGCACCTCTACGTGCCGGGGTTTCATCGCGCTGGCGAATCGGGCACAGCTGATTCATTCGGTGAGCATTTTGAGCGGAATAATCGCGGCGTCAAATGTAAGGTTTGTAACACAATCGTGACATTGGATACGTCAAATCCACGTGGGAGACCCATGGCGTGTGCCATAATCTTCATACGACCGGTTGGGAGGCTTATATCTCCTCTGGAGCCTGCCTGGCTGGCGTCAACTTCTTCTGAAGGCTCGTTACTAAGTCGAGAACGAGAAAGTCAAGTGTATGAGGCGGCTCATTCATTCTACCATGCAACCCAGGCTCCGATCGCGGGCACAGCCATAGAGAGTAATATCGACTGTATCCCTCTCTCACTCCCTACATCTTCGTTGATGGCGAGGCTCGGTGTAACCATCTGGTCTGCTGTGAGTTCATGTATTCCAGAAAAGCGTCACCGGCGGAAGTCCGGCCATATTCACCGGATCACTTATACGGACATTCTCTATCGGTTAACCCCTAAGTTCAATAGAGAGCGTGAAGAGGGCCCCTAGTATACTGTTTTACTTTGCAGTTCTCGTTCTTACTCGCACTTGTTTGTTGTCCTTCGTTTTGGCTTTTGTTTTTTCCTATATGTGAAGCTTCCATAAGGAAACTGTGGACTCTATTTTTAGCTTCAGGTTTATCTGTTTATCCGTTCCGTGCATAAGGTTCGCTTGAGCCGCTGACGTAACTATCACGTGACTGATATAAGCTTTCAGTCGGGCGGCTGTTGGTTATTTAAACCTCCCAACATCATTAAACCGTTTGAAGGTATGGCAACATTGAAGAGCAGCGCCGGCGTTGTCTTATTCACTTCTTTCGTCAGTATATGAGGGGAGCATAGGCTCGACGAGGTAAATATTTACTCTGTCGTATGCTATAACTAGCTAGAGAGTAATCCCTTCACGATTTCCCTCTGACTTCCGCTTCCATTCCACAATTCTGTTACAAGCCTTAGCTGGTGCATTTTTGTTGTCTCGCTATTCCATCTTAATTTTGTGTGCTTCGTTCCCTCCTTCTCCAGTATATACATGGTCCGCTGTGACCTTCTGATCATATGGCTTCTTCGTCGAACCAAAATATAGGGGCTTCGCCTCTCCTTCTGATGGCCCGCCGGATGTGCGTCAAGGTAGTTAGGGGTGAGTATAACATACATACCTTTACAATATGTATCCTCTCACTTCCCAGCTTCCAGCTAATAGTAAATCAACTAGAAATAACAGATGTTGGCCTGGCCCGTTATGAAGTTATCCGCCCTATCCTTCAGAAGATTGAGAATCCCCAGCAGCTAGTAAGTGCAGCCCTTGTGTTCGTCTTTAACTAACCCCTTGCCAAATCTCACTTTATTAACTTATATCTTCCTCATTACTTTATTTGGTTAGCATGAACTTGAGCAAAGATCTCCGCATCTTCTAGAGCACGATGCTGAACTCTGGATTGAATTTATCAAGCGTGACATATACTTCTGGGAGACCCTGGATCTAACTGAACCCCCTGAGAGTTGGTATCAGTTTTATACATCTCTTAGGGAGCAAGCCGCCAAGAAAGTTGACGAGGATGCAGAGCGCATGAGACGTGCGTTACAAGGCCTCGACAAAGAGAAGCTAAAGCACACTCCCAAACTGGTTGATGTAAAGCAAATGAGGCTCCCCCGAGAAAAGCCCACTACTGTTCAGCGGCATGCTCACCATGACCGCATGATGGGCGGTATTTCCCCTATTTTCGCATTAGGCACGAAAAGCAGTGATCCCAATAACAGTAAGCCGTGGGAGGATCGACCGCAGTGGAGACTTGTCCCGCCCAAGCTGTCTTCTAGATCCATCTTTGGTGCTTCTTCTGGGGCCAGGAAGTCTGCATTACCAGCGGTCGTCAAGCGGAATAACAGGCTATCTACCCCTACCCACAAGCTCAATACTATGGCCTCCCGTATTATCAAAGCTCCCAAGTCTTTTATTGAGGATCACCAAAAAAATTCGGGCCCCATCAACCGGACTATCCGCCCTACTGTTCGCAGCAATGCCACCACAGTGCCATTTCTGAAGCCTGCTGCGACCCCGCAGAAGCCATCCACCGGTCACGACTCAACTCCAGACCATACACCTACCGCTACGTCTATACATATGTCTGAAAAGCTCCAAACTTCACGTTCCGTTAGAAGCTCTGACTCTAAATTCAAGCCTACACCGACTATTACCCGAACGAGCTCAGATGTCACTCATGGCCCAACTGGACCCAATGTGAACCGTGGGCATCCTACAATGCCCCCGCATGATGCCTCGTCTAGCAGACCAGAATTAGGAAATAAGAGGCAGGGCAATCACACCTCGTCTAGGTCCACATTAAGCAATAAGCAGAAAAGACTGAAAGTTTCGTGAACACAACGAGAAGCCCACTATCATAACGCAAGATGAAGATTTTACTTTACTAATATTTCAAATTATTTAACACTCCCTTCTCTTGGCATCATTCTTCAGCTCTCTGCGATCTTTTCCAATTCGAATGTGATGAGATATTCATCAAATTTTTATTACACCTTTTTCCTAGCACTTTACCTACCCCGCCGGAATACCCGATAATCCCTTGGAATCGACACACCATGCGTGATATGAGCTGGCTATATCTCATAAATCGCAACCTAGCTGGCTCTGATTGCAACTCTGGTTTTGCCTTTTTGCGCTACCGTTTGGCCGAATCATCAGGAAATGGACCTGTACCGTTATTCTCACTCCTTCTTTTCACTGCGGGAATACTATTCCCGCGCGTTTATTTATCTACTTTGGCTTTATTTGGGTTTCGAGGATGTGACCATCCGGATAACAATTTGTGAAATAAGGGGATAAGGTGTATGGAGAGGCTATAGAAATATACCGGCAGGCTTGAGATGAGTAATCTAAATACTACGGTGGGCGCTCATTGGGTTGACTCGTTAAGTTATGTATTTCTGTTGTTTCTGTTGTCCCTTCTATGCTCTTCGTAAATATGTTACATGTTTGCCTTATCCTCTTCACGTTAGTTCCCTTCCAGTTGATCTGCCTTCAGTAGGCGATTCTGGTTCTTCATCAATAGCAAATCGTACATTGGTGCTCGTTGCACCACGCTTAAACGCACTCCTCCTCGTTGAATATATAGGCTGTAGCCTGGGCTCGCTTGCGGCCCACAGCTTGCTAGGAAATGATGTTGGTAATGGTGTTGCTGGAGTTGTAGACATCTGAACCAAAGCCCTTGCTCTGGCGGCCCGCTTCGAGGGACTGTTCAGATAACCTGGTGTTGACATAGGGGTGTGAGATGTAAAATCCGGCTGTCGTATCGGTGGCTCTTCTCGTTCGCTGGGATGATCTATCCCTTGCCATCCACGTGGGTCGTTAACCTGAATACTATGGCCGTTTTTGGATGGAGTTTCTATTGGAAAAGAGTCAAAGTCCCTTGAAATTCTAGCTTTCTCGCGCCAGTGATGAATCATATTCCGGTAGTGCTTTCGAGTATTGCGACCATACAGCGCATCTGCAGTTTCTAGTCGTGTTTTAATTTCGAATATCCGAAGGCTTAACTTCCGAATTTGAGCAAGGGCGATACCAGAGACATGGATCTCTAGAAACCGTGTCGCTTTCTCATCAAGCATTTGGTATGAACGTTGCATCCCTGCCCAATGTGTTAGGTTATTGTAGACCAATTGTCGGTTATAGTATAGCTGTGCGTCCGCAAGATGTTGCGCTCGTTGTGTGGCCTTTTCCGACCAGAGGTGGAACATGTTAGTTCCGACTGCAATGAGCTTTTCCCCATACATTTCCGTTGATCGCTGATGTATTTCACGAACAGTAGCGCAGCGAGACCGCCAGGCGGAGATAACAGCAGAGGCTAGATTCATTTTCACTTTGCGCCGAATGGCTGCATATGCTTCCAACCGTCGTCTCTTGGACGATTCTGCTGTTGCACTCCGCCACTGCTTCAGCGTTTTCGTAGTCAAGAAAAAATACTCCGATTTCTTTGCCCAGGTATCGAGAGTTGCCAAATGCTCGCTGCGTGCTTTCCAGCTTTGAAGCACCTCTTGCTGGACGGGAGGAGCATAAAACGCTCGGCTTACCAGTTCACGTTGCTTTTGAATATCGAGACGTTGTTTCCAGTAGCTAAAGGTGGCTTGCGCCAATTTTCGTTTTCTATCAGTTCGAAATCTGGCTTCTTTGACAAGGAGCTCGTTGTACAGGCTCCGAGAATTTTCCATCATCGTCTTGAGGTAGCTGGCCTTTAGGCGTTGTTGGTGAATTCGGTCCAGTAGGCGCAGCCTTCCTATAAGGATCCATTTATATAATGACTGTAAGACAATTCGCTCCTCTGTTCGTGAAGACAAGGCCTGGCAGCGAAGATGGTCATTCCAGGTTGTCCAACAGTTACGCATAACACGAAGTCTGTCAGCGTCCCGCGCTCTTCTCTCCATGCGTGTCTGTTGAGACCAGTCTTCCAGGCATGAGCGCACTAACTTAGTGTTTAGTAGACTAGTCACCTCTGCAAAAGGCCGCCTGTACTTTTGCTTGACTGACCATTCAGTTAGATAGTGTGATATGATGTGGTATTTCCAATGGTTATTCGCGCTCTTCTCAGCAGAGGAAACTTCACGATATTTCTGAACAAGAGTTTGGAATGTAAGTTTCAGAGAATTAAGAGAACGATTGGAGTCGATTGCTAGATCACGTTCCCTTTGAGTTCGGAGGGCACGCAACCAAGCAATAAAAGACCGTTGCTTTAAGCGCTCCTTATTCCATCGCGGTGCTAGCCTGTCACAGAAGGACCAAAACCAGTGTGAATACCCGTATCTCTTAAGGCTTCTCTGGCGAAATTCCTCTGCCTGGGAATCTAGGGGGGCAATTTGTTGGTGGCGGGCATTCCAGAGTTTTAATGGTTTTTTCAGCATAAAACGCTGGGCTTTGAGTTCATTAACGGCTGTTATTTCACGCCATGCGTTAAAATATTTGATGCAGAGGAGATGGCGGCGGGCAGCCTCGGTTCTATGAACTTCCTCAGAGGCAACCTGTGACCAGTGGGTAAACGCTTTCGTGAGCAGGTATATGTCTCGAGCGCGAGCAGCTCGCTCCTCGAGATTATTGAAAAACTTCTCGTTCTGTGCAGCTTCTCTCTCAGCTTCTGCGACTTCACGTTTGCCTTGCAATGCAGCCTTCCACAAGTCCAAGACCTGAACAACCAAAGTTTTGCTATCATAATATATGGCCCTCCGCTCCATGGCCTGGACTAACTCTCGCTTCCGCTTCGCTGATCTAGACCAGCTTGACAGCATTAGCCGGAGAGCATTTCTTCGTCTATACATATCAAAAACCGAGGCATCGCGTATACGCTGTGTATTTGATGGTTGATAAAACAGTTCTGGTGGTACTTGAGGAGGTTCTGGTGTCTCATCAGATGCAATGGAGAGTGTATTTTGACTAGGTTGGTGCTCCAAGATTGTGTTCGGATTCGTTCTGTGGTCACTGCCGAATTCTTGGGTACCAGAATTGTCTGAGCTCTCTGAAAAAAATGAGTTTGCGCCGCCGTCTGAATCCTGAGAAGCTATGCCGTTGACGTCACGACCTATAGCATCTCCCAGTCTTTCATGTTGAGGAGAGCGGTCCGACTTGTAAGGATATAATCTTTTGATTTCTGCATCAAAGTCTAAGGATCTGATTGTCCCATCCTCCAGCCTGGACATAGAAGACCTGGAGTTTGGCCGGTTGGCAAGGCGCTGTTCGAGGTCATGGGTTGGGTCGTAAACCGAATCGAATGAGGCGCGACGCCTATCCTCAGCTCTCCGTGGGAGAATCCCATTTGGTCTCTGTTGTAGAATGCGTACACTGTCTTCTCTAAAACGCGATGCAGCGCCGTTCGTCGGCAAAGACTCATTCGCTTCTGCATCCTCGCCGTATTCTAGTCGGATACCGAGCGACGCTAGGAGCGACTCAAAACGTTCGGAGATGGTACCATTTCGCTCAGCCCCAAGTTGGAACAAGAAAGGCAGATATGTCTGATCGCGTTCCACGGGAATGCCATGCTCAGACAGTACAGCATCGTAGGCCGAGAAGATAACGCGAAAAGGAAGAATGTCAGCGTCCGGGTGCTGTTCCGCGCGGGTTACAATTTCGTGGAGAAGCTCGACGTCTGTAGCATTATAGCTCTGAATCAGTTCTAACTCTCCAGCAGCGAGCAGTAAGCCCATCAGACTGACCTTGGTCCGACAGAACCAGCTGTTCCAGTGAGGTGACTGCCCGGTCCTTAGGATCTGAAGGCATTTGAAGATTTAATTATGGTTATACCGCGATCTACGCCGTTGTCGCAAATTGCGCAGCGACGTCATTTCGAGACTGACAGAAGTAAAGGCACGCCCCAGGCCGCATAGTCTTGCCAGGACGAAGAAAAACACTATCCAAAAACGAACCACACGGGCGCGGGCGGATGAAATCCTCGTCGTCTAGTCGTCGCGTCGTCTCGCTAACGCTGTTCTTGTTGTCTTGCTTGTATATGCGACTTTTTTTTTTTTTTCTTTTGCTGGTGGCTGGCGACGGTTAGTCAGTTATGTATTACATAAGCAAGTATTCAACGCTGAATATAAATTTTGTTCTTTTAGGTGAAAAATTGACAAAGGACAATTGATTATTGATTTTGATGCTGAAATACTAAAATAGCGAGATGTCGCGATTTAGAGCGGACGATACCCACAGGCCGAATAGTATAGATATACACAGGACTCTGTATATGAATGGGACAGCCAGCGTTATGCGAAGACGTCAGAGGAAAACCGGTCGCTCTTGATATCCTGGAACCAGCGCTCTACCTCTTCGTCCGTCTTTGGCTTGCCAATAGAGGCGCAATAGTCCTGGAATATCTTCTTCACGGTAGATGCGATGCCTTCTCCAACCCTGCTAGTACCGCAAACATAGAGCTTTGCTCCCCTGTCAAAGACCTTTCTCATCTCACCTCGTTCCTCCCACAGCCTGTCTTGGACGTATCGACAGCGCTTGCTCTGCTCACTTGCTGCAGAAAATGCATAAAACACTGTCACTACACCATCAGTCTCCCATTTCTGAAGCTCATCCTTGAAAAGAGCGTCTCTTTCGGGATGCCTGCATCCGATGAAAAGGTACGCGGGGGCCACTTTTCGGCCCGCTTGGATCTGGATTGCTCTCTCTTGAACAAAACCGTGGAAAGGGGCAAGGCCAGTCCCGGCACAGAACATCATGACAGGTGTATTTTCAGTGTCCTTGGGAGGGTGGAAGTTGCCATGGCTTGGCTTCACGGCAACATGGATCCTATCGCCTTCTTGGACTTTGGAGAGGAAGTTGGATGCCACACCAAGGAACCGCTTTGAATCGGCAACCCGGGACGGCGCATCGAGAACTGACCAGGTAATAGACGCAACAGTTGGGTCTGCTAATGGTGAGGAAGAAATTGAATATTGGCGAATGCGCATCGGTGGCAGCATTGCAAGGAAGTCTCCAAGAGGCAGCTCGGCTGTTGGATATTCCTCGAGAAGATCCAACGGAGAGCGGCGTTTCTTCAAAATCTCATTTTCAAATCCTTCCTTTGAAAGAGCAAGGACTTCCTCCCGGACCTTCTCGTCTGATATACTGGAAGCGATTCGAGCAACGTTCTACTCGGAAAACCGGTCAGCCAACTGTAATAGAACCATAAATCACTTCCAAAACATACCTTTCTCGTCGCTGGTTGGCCCAGCTCGACATACGCACTCAATACATCCATTGCAGAAACAGGGTGGCCCGTTGGCAAGGTAGTATTAGCGCCAACCTTGATTGTCAACATTGCGTCCCACGGGAGGTTGTAACGATTCAGGGCTCGTCGGATATTTCTCTGGTCGTTTATAGGAAGTACGGCAAGATAATCTCCAGCTTTGTAGGACATCCCGGTAGGAAGCGTTAAAACAAGGTGCCTCTTCTCTGGTTCTCCAGGTGCTGTCAGTACTTTGTTACTGATGACAGTTGCTTCTCTCACGTCCTGACGGAGTGTAGACTTCCGCGCATCTGTATCGATGTCAACCTCCACTGTACCCTCTTCGGCAGGGTCGACGTCGCCGCCAATAGAGGACCAAAGTTGCTCGTCCTGCCATTTATCGAAGTGGTTGAAGATATCACCATCTGCTACGTCCCCAAGGCCAACATCAGTGACTCTAGTCGCACCGCACCTGTTGAACTCTGCATCCAGGAGTTTTGGTATTCTGTGAAACGTCGAGGTCCAATCATCTACAATGGTAAGCAACCGCTTGGATGCCTAGATAGACAAAGTGGGGGATGGGTATACATACGATTCCCGCAGCCATAAACTGCGTATTTCACTCCGGTCATTGTACCACTAGCGAGCCCTTGGATCCACTCGACAAAATGTGCGGCATTGTCTGGTGGCTGCCCTTCATAACTGGACGATATGACGATCACCGGCTGATCCTTGGGTACTTTGTCAACACCCGAATCCAAGGGACCAACTTGTGCACTATAGCCTCTACTCGAGGCATCTCTAGCCAAGTTCTGTGCCAATGCCTCACAAGTTCCTGCGTTTGAGCCGTAGAGTATTGTCATGGGTCTCTTTGCCGGTCCAACAGAGGAGATACCGGTTGCCCTATCCTTCTCTGCGGCCTTAGCTTCTGCATCTATATTCACATGAAGCATCTTCTCCAGCTGAACAGGGTCGACATTGTGTCTTAGCGTCGCGCGCATAAAAAAGTCTTTGGGCTTAATAGTAAGTGTCTGTTTTATCTGCAGCTGGTAGCTTGGGTCGTCAAATCGCAGGTTGAAATTCTGGAGGAGCATTGCAGCAGTTAAGATGGTCTCCTGCCATGCAAATGGCCTTCCAATACATCCACGTATACCATTGCCAAAAGGCTTCCAGGAATTTTTAGGGAGTTTTGCAAAAGGCTCATCCAGCATCCGTTCTGGCCTGAAGAGATTGGCATCGTCTCCATACACTGTTGGGTCACGATGAATTTGAGGGATGACGCAAACAATTGCCTGGCCCTTTTTAATCTCATACTTCCCCTTGCCAAGGTAAATAGGGTCCTCCTGACTGTCTGACCGGGGCTGCATTTGGATAGCAATTGCAGAAGGCGAAAGTCTGAGAGTTTCACGCATACAAGCCTCTATATAGGGCAGCTTCGACATATGCTCGACAGTAATAGGTCCACGGCCCACGACTTCATCCACCTGACGCTGCGCAGCTTGGTACGCTGATGGATGTTTCAAGAGATAGTAAAACAAGAACGACAAAAGGCCGCTGGTTGTCTCGTGACCTATAAGATCAAATTAGCTATGCAAAGTCGGCAAAGCGTACGATCTGGAAAAGGGTATCAGCCAACCGGCAATCAAGAAAGTTATCATATTGTTCATGATACTCTCTTCAGTCATCTGTTCTCCAGTTCTAGCATCCTTCCCCTTTAGCATGGCATTGAGCAGGTCCTTTTTGTCATTGGGATTGGCTTTCCGGTCCGCAACCAGGTCCCCGGCGACCTTTTTCATCAGCTCAATATCGGCATCATATTGTTGTTGGGCTGAGTGCATAAAGTATTGAACAACAGCTGGCCGACTTGCTCTGGCTCCAGACTCGGCCAAGAACCCAACCATGGCGTGAACAAAAGGGTGCATATCCTCATGATAGAATGAGTTGAATCGGGTCCCCATGGCACATCTACGTCATTCCATCAGTAAGCAAGCTCAAAAGTGGTCGAGCTAAGAGTAATGCCAGACTTACAAGGCGATAGAGTCAAGAGTCAGGCGCGTGAAATCATCTGTGACATGTATCTTCTCATTGGGACCAAACCGCGCCCATTTAATCACTAGCTGTGATGCAATATCGTGCATCTCATCGAACATGGCCCGAATTGATAACGGACCAAACGCTTATCCCCTTTTCGTCAGCAAAGCTGCCTCTAATCAACGAACATCGCGCCATCGCCATCTGATACTTACCTGGCATCAAAACACGATGTGCAATCTCCCAGTTGTGTTCCCCCGGGTGAGCTGTGAAAAGCCCATCTTGGACTCCGTTTCTGATCTGGGCCAGACTGCCAGCGACGAGTTTCGAGAATCGCTTCTCATTGCAGACCTCATCCATCAAGGACTGAGTGGTGATGAAGATCTTCTCCTCACCACCCAGGGTAAGCCTGAAGATTGGTCCTTCACACCATCTTGTCAGCACGCCCTTTCTCTCAAAACATCTTTTTGAAATGACCAAGACGCACCATATGTATCTGTAAGGTTCCCAAAGGTGGTGAAGGAGTTTACAAGGTCAAGGTTATAAGCATTCCCGACAATGGGCAACGGTGCTGGCCCAGGAATCGGTTCAGACATGTTGTCTAATATTGCCTCTGTAACTAACTAGTCATCCAGCCAAAGACTGAAGGTCAGACCCAGCCCTGGGTCTTGAGAATATATTTATATTATCTTATTGCCTTGAACAATGAGACCAAGAAGCAGCATGATGGTCCGCTGCGGGCAGGAAATGCCTTTTGACGTCAGCTGCCATTGAGCCAGACATGATTGGCCCTGGGCGATTTCTTCTCAATATTGATCCATGCTGAGCAAGGTCTTTGCACTCGGCCTTCCCGATCAAACGGTCGCAGCCCTGCCAGCCCTACCAATAGGGTCTACCGGAAGACGGAGCCGAGAGAGCCGTCTGCCGGTCTCCGAAGGCCCAGAAGAAAGTGTTGATTGTAGACATCGAGGCAGCGCAGTCGAGGACCTCGAGAGACGCCAAAGCCGAGGCACAAGTCAGGTGATTGGAGAATTCCCATCTTAAGGGGAGGCAGTAGTTAGTATTTCACTGGGCGGCCGGCCGAGGCTGGGTGGAAAAGCCAACAGAGTGTCAATAATAATGCAAATAATCCTCTTCATCCGTTGGTCCTCCGGGAATGTCAAACACTTCATCTCCGACACATGGAGATATTTCATGAATTTTTATGAATAGTTGCATAACTAATTGTGCTGTGTTGCATCGTATCCACCGTATTGCTGACCCGCTAATTTGAGTATTAAATATCGTAATGGTCGGTAGCTTTGATACGTGTTAGTCATCCATTTTTAGCCTCAACGTGCAGTTTTAGCTATTTTCACCGCAGGATATTTGGTTGACCAAGCAGCATTTGATATTAGCCAGAATTATACCCGACAAAGGTTTCAGGGGAGGGCTGGTTCCTAGCTCAGCATGACTGGAAAGACAAGGCCAATTGAAAAGTTTGCACAGGCGGCTGCAAAATGCTCTGCCGAGGTGAGATCATGTCCAGATCATAGCGTAAAAGCCCTGTAGCTGACCATGTTGAGTCAGGCAACGGTGTATGGCAAGTGTATCCTGGCCGATTACACTGCTGTATCGAAGGATATGTGTGCCAAAGAGTTCATGAAGCTGAAAGATTGCTACCTGGTACGCGTTTGTTCCCTGGTTATATCGGACCATGTTAATTGTTGATACAGGCCGCCGCAAAGAGACGATAAAACCTCTAATTTCACGCCATCAGACTAAACACAGCGGACTACAATAATAGTTCGAGAGCGAGTAGACCAGGAAAATACGTCTAATATTGTATCTAAACAGGTACACTGCGAGGAGGCACAGTGTTTTTTTTTTTTTTTCTTTTTATAGCTTAACAAGTCGAAGCAGGAACATAGCCCTTTGAACTTCTTGAACTTCCTCCATGATCACATCTTCTTCAGTATCAGGGATCTTCCCTTCGACCTCAGTAACGACGTGTTTGTCCATGGGCCGTCGAAGTGCCTTTTCAAGAGCCTTGGCTTGCCTGTCGAACACCCCTTCAATTCCAATGTCATCAGGATCAGACAGAACACGATATTCCATCCCAACGTCATCCGTTACTTGCAGGCCAGCCTTCTTTCTGAGGCGCTGAACTCTGTTGACGATCTCTCGCGCAATCCCTTCGTCTGCAAGTTCTGGGTACAAGGCCGCATCCAAGATGGTAAGGACGTCATCATCAGTGTTGGTTTCCAGTTCAGAGGAGCCTTCGTCTCGCTTTAATCCTCGCTTCACAACTAGGTCACCCGTCACTAGTTCGATGCCGTCGACTAGTATCTTCCCGGTCTCAACGTATTTCTTCACATCGTCATTGGAGAGTGATGGCAAGGCTTTCTTAACTTTCTGCACGTCCTTCTTCAACTTCTTGCCGAGAACTGGCCAGTCAGCATCAACGCTATACTGGACGTTATATTTAGCTTCGTCGGATGACAGTATCAGGTCGCGGATGTTAAGCTCCTCGGCAATGTACGACTCTAGCGAGCGAACGTCGTCTAGATATTCTTGATCCTTGTGAATAACAACAAGGGACTTCAGAGGACACTTCAAACCGATGGTTCGGCGCTCACGGGAAACTCTACCAAGTTCTATCACCTTCTGCATTCGCCTGACTTGCCTCTCAATAGTCTCATTAAATAGCTCCTCTCGAACTTCTGGGAAGGGAAGGAAGTGTACTGATCGGCTATCTTCTCCTCGGAGATTCTCTGGAATATGTGGTAGGAGGCGAAGATAGATGGTATCGGTGATGAAAGGCGTGAAGGGGGCTAGTCCACGAACCAATGTGTAAAGGACTTCAAAAAGGGTGTTGAGGGCATGCAGTGTATCGTCCAATCCAAGTTCACCCTTTAGACGTCTTCGGTTGAATCGGATATACCAGTTAGTTGTGTTGTCAATGAGTTCAAGTAATCTTGGAACCACCGTGTAGAGTCGGTAACCAGCCATCTCCTCGTTCACAAACTTGAGCAAGCTTTGACAACTGGCCAGGATCCAGCGATCCATGGCGTTGGTGTTAGTGGACTCGGCCTTAGGATCAAACATGTAGTCGACATTTTCAACCTTCTTTAACAGCGCAACCTGACCTTCAAAGAACTTGTAGCTGTTCCACAGTGGCAGGAGGACCTTGGAAACAATTTCCTTGACGCCCGACTCCTTGAACCTCAATGGCTCCGCGCGGACAACTGGCGAATTGATGAGGTATAGTCGAAGTGGATCAGAGCCGTACCGATCCATCACTAAGCCTGGATCCGGGTAGTTCTTCAGACGCTTTGACATCTTCTTCCCATCCTCAGCGAGGACAATTCCATTGACAACACAGTTTTTGAATGGCAGTTTTCCGAAAAGGTGTACGCCCAAAACTGCAAGGGTATAGAACCATCCACGAGTCTGGTCAAGGCCCTCGGCGATGAAATCACCAGGGAACTTGTCCTCGAAACGCTCTTTGTCTTTAAACGGATAATGCTGTGAGGCGTATGGCATGCTTCCTGACTCAAACCAGCAATCAAACACCTCCTCCACGCGGCGGAGCATACCTTTTCCTTTCTTACTAGGAATGGTGATGTGGTCAATCTTGTCACGATGGAGGTCGGTCAATTCGCCGGTATAACCACTCAGCTCCTTTAGCTCCTGCACACTTCCGACAGCAACGATCTCTTCGAAATCCTCACTGGCCCAGAGAGGGATAGGGGTACCCCAATAACGATTTCGAGAAATATTCCAATCTCTTGCGTTTACTATCCAGCTTGCAAAGCGTTTCTCCTTGACAAAAGACGGAACCCAGTATGACTGTTCAATCGACTCCAGCAAAGCAGGAATTACGGGGGTGACCTTGACAAACCAAGAAGGCACTGCTCTATAAATCAAAGGGGTATCAGATCTCCAGCAGAAAGGATAACTATGAGTAATCTGGCTATCAACAACTACTCGGCCTGTGCCTTTCAAGTGTTTGATAATCGCTTTGTCAGCCTCTTTGACATGCATGCCAGCAAAGTCCCTAACCTCCTTGGTGAATCGACCCCTTTCATCTACAGGGTTTGGAGGCAGCCTGTCCCCGCTAATGACGCCGGATTTCATAGCAACGTTGTAATCTTCTTCACCGAACGCGGGAGCCTGGTGGACGATTCCAACACCACTATCGGCGGTAACATAAGACGCAGTGAGTACGCGGAATCCGTGGTCCTTGAACTTGTCGTAGAAGTAGTCAAAGAGGGGCTCATATTTCCATCCTTCCATATCAGAACCCTTGACACGTTCCAGTATCTTGAACTTTGCCTTCTTGGGGTTCTTGTAAAGTGTCCCCAGAAGAGCCTCCAAAATGTAATAGTTCTTGCCCGAGGCCTCATCGTGAATCTTGATATATTCAAAATCCGGATGAACTGCAAGCCCAACATGGGATGGAAGGGTCCATGGCGTGGTCGTCCAAGCCAGAAGGCAAGTCTGGGGGTCATCAAGGAGTGGGAATGAAACGACAACCGCAGGATCTTGAACGTCCTTGTAGTTTTGCTGAGCCTCGAAATTACTCAACGGGGTGTTAAGTGCGGTCGAGTACGGCATGACTCTGTACCCACGATATACAGCGCCTTTGTCAAATAGTTGTTTCAGTATCCACCAGATAGATTCCATAAAGGTGGTGTCCATCGTCTAGACAAGCAAACAAACTGTCAGTAAGGTCGTTTTAGCCCACCATCGTGCCCATGGGAAGAGCGCTCCCACCTTATAATCATTGTCAAAATCAATCCAACGGCCCAGCCTGTCAATGGTCTGCCTCCACTCTGTAGAAAACCTCATAACAATGGCTTTGCATTCAGCGTTGTAGGCCTTGAGGCCGATCTTCTCGACAGCTTCAGAGCCCGACATTCCCAGCATCTTGTCAATTTCATATTCGATCGGAACGCCGTGCGTATCCCAGCCAAATCTGCGCTCGACATGATAGCCCTTCATCGACCAGTATCGAGGAATAATGTCCTTTATGGTGGAAGCAAGCAAATGCCCGTAGTGGGGTAATCCAGTCGCAAATGGCGGGCCATCGTAGAAGGTGTACTCTTTTTTGCCCTTGGATAACTCGACCTGACGCTCAAAGGCCCCGATCTCCTTCCATCGTTTGAGGATGGCCTCCTCTTCCTTTGGAAAGTCGATAGACATGGCGTCGCGAAGATAGTGCTGTGACTCTGCTGCGTGTGAGAAGTGCGTGGGGGGAGCGGAGCAGTCACAGCTATTTAAGCCCTGCCGGAATTTGTGTGTGAGTCAGCGCGGCAAGTGGGAAATTCTGGCCCCAAGGCCTCCTTTTCGCAGCAGGATTCGACCAGCCGCAGTCACATTGGTGATTCATATATACAAAGGAATGACTCGGATGAAGAAATGCAAACAGGCAATAGCTCTAGGAACAATGTTCAAGAAGAGATAGATGTTAATGGCTAAGAATATATATGATTATTTCGTCACTCGTTCCGCAATAAGTCTGGTTATCAGATGCACTACCATCAAGCTGGCAATCATTCCGCGTTCCCTTCGTCTTCGTCCTCATCATCCTCGTCCTCATCCTCATCTTCGTCAATGTCAGATACTTCTTCGCCCAGGGCCTCCAACCGTTTCTAAGACCGGTGTTAGCAATGTTCGATTAGAGAGAAGAATATTGGTTGAATAACCTACCTTGTCTGCTTTCCTCTTTGCTTCAAGGTCGCTGAACACTATCAGCAGATCTTCCAGTTCGTTCTGTGCTGATTTGCGAGCGGCTTCGCTCTCCTCACTAGCCTTTTGCAGCTTCTCGGCCCGTTCTCGAGCTTCCTTTAGGCTCTTTTCCAGCGTCTTGTTATGCTCCTCCGCCTGCCGCGCCTTTTCCTCTGCTCGCCGGTTCTTTGCTTCTAGATTTGATAGATTTGTTGAGTATTCTTCATGGGCAGTCTGGAGGTCCAGGATGTGGTCCTTGTTAGCCTTCTCAAGGCTCGCCTCTAGTTTCTGCACCATTTGCTTCAATTCCGTAACCTCGCTTTCATGCATGTCTCTAAGCTCAGTAGTTCGCCTTTCATGTTCACTAGTAGTTTGCTTTAGTTGGTTATCGAGAGCATGCAGTTGCTCACCATGGTTCCTAACAAGTTCACTCTTGGCCAACGTATGTTGCTCCTCTAGTCTAGACAATTCGGCCTGGTGTGTCTTTTTCATTGACTCATTGGCTTGATTGAGCCTATGTAACTCATGGTTACTAGAATCTTTGGTCCGTTTGTGGTCCAAATGCTCCTGGTCTAGCTTACGCTGCAGATCCAACATCTCTGACTCCAAGTTCTGAATAGCCTGTGCTCGCTCTTCAGCCTGAGCTCTCAAGTTGTCCACTAGCTCGCGTGAGATCCCCTTAGGAATTCCATTTGCCAGTACAGGTACCTCCATTCCAGGATCGCGGTCAATAGCCCGAATGAGTCGGCTAAAATTGTCCTTTAGAAAATCAACAAAGGTTTTCTTAAAGAAGATGTCAGGAAGCCCAGAGTCATGTTGCCCCTGGACCGTTTGTGGTAGAACCTCAAAGTCCCGAACCAGTGGGTGCTCGCGAAGTTTTGTGATTTTGTCAATGTACTGCTCTCTTCCAAGCCTACTTATCAGCAGTTGGTGAAGGGTTGAACGGGGAATAGGGGAGTCCTTTGTTGAAAATTCGTATATAATCCCAAGAAGAACAGCACATAGCCCGGGAAGAAGTGACTCTGGGGAGCCCTCCTGTTTGGCTTCTTGGATCAGGCTCTGGATACTGCTTCCCTCGCCCAAGAAGTCGTTAACGATGTCTGGGTCTTCAAATAGCCAGCCACAGAGTAAGGTCAAGTATCCAACAGATATTCTCTCGTCGTCATGGCGCTGGATACCGGTGATCAAATTACCAGCAATTGCCTGCACACACGTTACCACCTCTTCCCCACTTTCAGCATCGCCCTCAGTAACTTTCATTGCGGCAGCCTTAGCTTCGGGGTCTTCATATATTAGATGAAATAGCAGGACAGAGGCTAGCCATAGCTGGTAAGGATCTTTTGTGGTATCAAAATCCAAGGGGCGGATAAGGATAGACAATATGTTTGGAATCTCATCGCCACCACCTGTGTGGCCGCTTATTGCTCTGTTCAAAAAGTGAAGCTTGATTCCTGAATGATTCGTAAAGAAAGCCTGGATGCAGTCACAAGATGCGAGGCGAGCATCCAGCATGTTTACCGGACCTTGTTGTAAGGTCAGGCGCAACAACGCCTCCAGAACGTTGAGCCTTTCCACAGTCCGGGCTGGTGCATTTCCATTAACCAGCTTCTGATCCACCGGTGTAGCTGTTATGGTAACCTCCATATCTGAAAACTTTTCCTGGAGTGTTGCATTGGAGCAGATCAAGTCTGAAGCTGCAAGGAGAGCCTTCGCTTGAATGTTAGCTAAATACATTAAAGATCACTAACTGGCAATGGGTACTGACCTTTGATTTGAGAGAAACATCAAATTCTTCATTAAATGCAGCTCTCAGCAGTTGTTGCATAGTTCCACTCTGCCAGAAGGCCATCTGGTTTACTGGAGTGCTGATACCGCGCTTGACAAGAAATAGCTGGATAATAGCAAGGATTCCCCAGATATTTTTATTGCGTTGCTCCAGCATCCAGACCGGGAATTCTTCATCAGGCTTACGATCCTTCATTGCATCTTCCAAAAGCAGAACTAGCTTCCTCACGCAACCAGTCTCCCGGAAAAAAGATTGGTTAGAGGGGTTTAACTGTAATAGGTTGGCCAGCAGAGCCAGACAATCCTCTAGTGTCCTAGATCCATGCTTCAAAGATCCCTCAGCTTCTATTAAGGAGAATATCCGTTCAAAAGCATTTTCAAAGGCCACAACTTTCTGCAACTCAGCAGAAGAAACTGTGAGTGCAATGAGAAGAAGAAGTGCCTCTACAGGAGGTAACGGTTAGCAGTCCACAAATATCTTTGGCGCTGACATTCTTATTCGTACCATTACGAGCTGGCTCTCTTGAGTCACCCAATACCGCAGCAATCCTAGATATACCCAATGGTGCCGTCAAGATACATTCCTGCGTTCTCTCCGGGCGAGCTGCTGAAATCTGAGATATTAACTGGAGGGAGTAGAGCCTGGAGTAAAATTCCTTGGTGTCTAGAAGGTCAAGTAGGATTGTGATATTATCTTGTCTCTGTCCATTGCCTTGTCAGCAGCTTAGCTTCTGCCAAATTTAAGGAGCGACTTGCCTGAGTAAATTCGTCCGCTAGCCATAGTGCTAACTCATCTGATGCTTCTGGCTGTTGGCAGGATGTACAATTAGTTTCCCAGTAAGTAATGCGAGGCAGCCAATGCAACCCACACTATTCTCCTCCGGAGAAAAAAGCATCAGCAGAGTCTCCAGGACCAGCTTGATAGTATCAACGTCCTCAACATCGTTGCGGAGAGAAGTGATCAGTGGCCTCAGGGCCTCCGATGCAACAGACGCAGGATATCCCTTGGCGAAGCTCCGGAGCCCAAGTATAGCTGCCCGGCGATCTTCCAGCAGCGTCGAGCTCTGCAGCCGACTGCTCAGCGTATTTATTGTGTCAGTCGCTGTCTGCCGCGCGGGAGCTTGGGATTCGAGGATGCGAAACATCGTGTGTTATGGAACCGAAACAGCACCATCACCGCCGGTCAATAGGGCCGCACATGCTCACGTAGGGACAAGGAAGGGGTTAAATTAAACACAGAGCCGGCAGTAGCACTCTCTTCTGTTATCGCTGTCTCTGCGGCCGGTAATAATATCAACATCAACCTTCAAATCCGCTACAACTAGTTTATTTTGCTCCAGATAATGAGAATATCACGTGACCCAGCTGGCTTCACCATAATTTTAGGTTTCGGAAAAATATTCGATATTTTTTTTGATGTTAAATTATTGAAAAGCCGAAAGAGACGTCAAGAAGACGCAGAGGCAGAACGGGAGAGAGACAAACGGAGAGTGCACATGCTTCGGAAAGCCTTATCATTGGTATCACTCGTTTCGCGCAAAGGAAGCAAGTTGCAGAGTCTGGATTTTCTTTTCCCATCGTTACCGCCGGCATTGCTCCCGGCACAACGTCGCGATGGGCGTTCCAGCTCTCTTCCGATGGCTTTCGTCCAAGTACCCAAAGATTGTCTCCGCCGTCGTTGAAGAACAGCCGCAGGAGATAGACGGGCAGGAAATACCAGTCGATATCACCAAACCGAACCCAAATGGCGAGGAGATGGATAACCTGTATCTGGACATGAACGGCATCGTCCACCCGTGTACGCATCCCGAGGGCAAGCCTCCACCGGCAAATGAGGGCGAGATGATGCTGGAAATCTTCAAATATACAGACAGGGTGGTGAACATGGTCCGGCCAAGAAAGGTGCTAATGATTGCTGTTGGTATGTCGGGTTTACGGCTGTGGGGAATCTAGAGGTCTCCCCTCGGACGGCTACATTATATATGCATGATGTGTTCATAGTCGCCAAGGGGAGTTACAGCCTTTCATTCTCTTTCCCCACTAGCACCTATTCGTTCTGCTATGTGTTTGGTACTAATGTTGCGTTCGTTTTAGATGGAGTCGCTCCTCGTGCAAAAATGAACCAGCAACGCTCCCGTCGATTCCGTTCTGCGCAAGATGCAAAGGCTGAAGATGAGAAGAAAGTGGAATTTGCAAAGTTGCTCAAGAAACAGAAACGCGGGAAGAAAGATGTAACAGTTGCTGAAGAGGTGATTACAAAAACTTGGGATACCAATGTCATCACGCCAGGAACTCCATTTATGGATATCCTTGCACTTGCACTGCGATATTGGGTCGCGTATAAGTTAAGTACTGACCCTGGTTGGGAAAAGGTTAGTCGAGTCCATCATCATTGAACCTGCTTGGATGTGTACTAACTTCCCTTATTAGCTGAAAGTCATTATCTCCGATGCCACAGTTCCAGGGGAGGGAGAACACAAAATTATGGAGTTTATTCGTTCCCAGCGTGCTTGTCCAGAGTATGATCCCAATACTCGGCACGTCATTTACGGCTTGGTTAGTGACGTATATGTCTACACATATAGCATAAGCAGTCGCTGACTAGTTTTTAGGATGCCGATTTGATCATGTTGGGGCTAGGCACTCATGAGCCACACTTCCGAGTTTTGCGCGAAGACGTCTTTTTCCAGGAATCAAAAGCTAGAACTTGCAAACTATGCGGGCAAGCCGGCCATGTTGAAGAGGCCTGCACAGGAAAGGCGAAAGAGAAGCGAGGGGAGTTTGATGAAAAACAAAAGGGAAACCCCTTGAAACCATTCATCTGGCTTCATGTTTCCGTACTTCGTGAATATCTGGCTGTAGAAATGCAGGTCCCTCAACAACCATTTCCTTTTGATCTCGAGAGAGCTCTGGATGACTGGGTATTCATGTGTTTCTTCGTTGGTAACGATTTCTTACCTCACCTTCCGTCGTTGGAGATTCGTGAGAACGGCATAGATACGCTCATTGCAATTTGGCGTGATAATATCCCACAGATGGGTGGCTACCTAACGAAGGATGGGCGGGTTGATTTGGCAAAGGCACAGTTAATTTTACAGGGGCTAGCCAAACAGGAAGACGCAATCTTCCGCCGTCGGCGACAAACCGAGGAGAGGAGGAATGCAAATGCTAAACGACGCCAGGAGGAAGACCGCCAACGCAGGAACAATAACAATGATCATGCTCGGAAGAAGCGAAGAGGCTCCCGCGGTGCTGAACCAGTCCCAGATATTCCACCTCTCGTCGTACCCGGGAAAGGCGAGTTATCGAGAGCTGAGAGAGAGCTGACACACGCTATGGTTGTCAATCGCGGCGCAGTCTACAAGGCTAACATGGCAAACAAAAGCGCTGCCGCCGCTCTCAAAGCCCAGCTTCTCTCTGGTGGCACAGCAGAAGACGGTGCTGGCGCTACAAATTCTCAGGATCCGGCACCTTCAGGGATGCCCAGCTCAAAACTTGGCAAAAGAAAGTCGGACGTATTTGAAAACTCAAATACAGAAGCGGAAGCAGAAGAAGAGGATGAGGAAGAAGAAGACACGGTTGAGGTTCCAGCAAAGCCTAAAGAAGATGAGATGCCCCCGGATACGGTACGGCTGTGGGAAGATGGATATGCAGACCGGTACTACGAGCAGAAATTCGGAGTAAACCCCAAAGATATCGCTTTCCGCCATAAGGTAGCTCGGGCATACGTTGAAGGACTGAGTTGGGTGCTTTTGTATTATTTCCAGGGATGTCCGTCCTGGACGTGGTACTACCCGTACCACTATGCGCCATTTGCAGCCGACTTTGTTGACATTGGCAAAATGGATGTGCAATTTACAAAAGGGACTCCTTTCAAGCCATTTGAACAGCTGATGGGTGTCTTGCCTGCAGCGTCGAACCATGCTATTCCCGAGGTATTCCGGGACCTCATGTCTGATGAGAACAGCGAGATCATCGACTTTTACCCTGAAGATTTCCCCGTTGACCTGAACGGGAAAAAGTTTGCATGGCAGGGAGTTGCTCTGTTGCCGTTTATTGACGAGAAACGCCTGCTGGCAGCCATGGATAAGCGATATCACCTGTTGTCGGAGGAAGAGCAAGCCCGCAATGCCATGGGGAAGGACGTATTACTATTGTCAGAAAAACACCCCCTTTACGAATCTCTAACGGCCAATTTCTACTCCAAAAAACAAGTGTCGTCGAAGCTCAAATTGAACATGCGTATCAGCGAGGGACTAGGTGGGAAAGTCGAGAAGAACGAATCATATCTACCCCATAGTTCTCTATCCCTGGAGGTGGATGGCGCCGATATCCCTGCACTCGATGAAGATCGGTCAATAAGGTAAAAAATCTGGCCCCCATTACATTAATATGTATATATTTGTCTGTCTGCTAACATTGCGATACAAACAGTGTTTACTATGAAATGCCCAGGTCTATGCATACCCATAAATCCATGCTTCTTCGGGGTGTCAAGTTCAAGGAGCCGACTCTTGACAAGGCGGATCTAGAAATCACCAGAAACAAAGCCCGACACTCTGGGCGGTCATTCGGAGGAGCACCACTCCATTCTAACCGCGGTGGTAGAGGCAGGGGAGGCGGGAGAGGTGGAGGCCAGATATCCTACGCCAGCAACGACCGCCCAAACCCCTTTGCTGCACACGTAGCCCCAGGCTATATTCCCCCACCGCACATGGGTGGAGGGCCACCTGGGTACAATCCTGCACCCCCAAGTATGTACAACGGCCCTGATCGATACCGGTCCCAGGGAGGGTACCCTAGGGGAGGCGGCGGCGGCGGCGGATACGGCGGAGGCTACGGCGGCCATTACCAGCAACCACCTCCACATAGATGGGCCCAACACGACGGTCCAGCTTACGGCAACCCTCCTCGCAACCCCTACCAGGACCGCGCTCACTACCAGAGCGGCGGAAGCGGCGGGTACGGGCGTGGCGGAGGAGGAGGAGGACCCTATGACGGTAGGGGAGGAGGCTACTACGGCTCCAGGGGATCCGGGCGTGGTCGGGGTCGAGGTGACGGGTATGGCAGGTATTAAGCAAGCGCTGAACTCGCTTAGTCTACGTATAGCTGTACGAATATAGAACGCTCCCACCATCTATCTCCTTTTTTTTTACTTTTTTCTTTTTATATCCTGTCCCCATCGTGGCCTTTTTTTTTTTTTTTTTTGTTATCTTCCCTCGATATTTAGTTATTATTAGAAAAACGACCAAGACCGGACCGAAGGCGGTGAATGATGGCAGAAACCCTCTTTCGACTTCAACTAAAAAAAATAACGACGTCGAGCTTTTCTTTTGCTTTTGAATTTGCTGTATTCCGAGACTATCTAGAGAAATCAAATATTACGCCTGCGGCGGTTAGCAGGTTGTTTCGTCGCTGTCTCCGTTGAGTTATATTATTGCGAGAGAGGTCCAGGTCCTCCGATCGTCGGGGCTGGCTAGATATTACTCATAGCTCAGGGAGCTTAGTTAAGTTTCTTTAGCTTGTGCTCAATTTTCGGTCTTCTCTCCTCCTCTCTGGCTACCATTTCAATTGAAGCGGCCTGCGACTCTGACGACGGTGCTAAGCTGACTTTTTATGGGCCTGGGATGAATTAAGCTGCGACGTTGGACTCGTTTTTACTGTTGTCGACTATCAGAAAAGGACCGGCTGAGAGAGCTTGCCCCTCCCCTGCTCTATAGCTCCCCACACAGGCCTCAGAACCTTCGGGCGCTTCATCATGGAGCCAACAACAATTCAGATCCTAGGCCGTGACAGCATAGTCGCGGATTTTGGCATTTGGAGACGCCATGTTGCTAAAGACCTTCTTCAGACGCTCTCCTCGTCGACGTATATCCTCATCTCTGATACGAACATAGCCCCCTTGTATGTTCCAGAATTCGAAAAGGCCTTCGAAGAAGCCGCAGCCGAAAAATCCCCGAAACCCCGGCTGCTTACTTACAAGATTGCGCCAGGAGAGTCGTCAAAGGGCCGCGAAACCAAGGCAGAAATTGAGGACTGGATGCTGAGTTGCCAGCCGCCATGTGGTCGAGACACAGTGCTGATTGCTCTTGGAGGTGGGGTGATTGGGGACCTGTCAGGTTTCGTTGCTGCGACCTATATGCGTGGCATTCGGTTCGTACAAGTGCCAACTACGTTACTGGCCATGGTGGACTCCTCAATTGGAGGTAAGACTGCTATTGATACCCCGAATGGAAAGAATTTGATAGGCTCCATATGGCAGCCAGAGAAAATATACTTGGATATGGAATTTTTGAACACACTACCACAACGGGAATTTACGAATGGAATGGCAGAAGTCATCAAGGTGAGCAGTTAGCTTGTTCCAGCCTCCTCATTCTTGAAGCCCAATTCGCTTACACTACCCTAAGACTGCCGCAATTTCAAGTGAAGAGACATTTGCGGAATTAGAGGAAAACGCAGACGCCATTGCCGCAGCACTCAAAACTGAAAATACCCCAGAACGGTCTCGTTTCAGTGGTATCCAGGGCATCCTTAAGCGAACCATTTTAGCTTCAGCGCGATTCAAGGCGGATGTAGTATCCAAAGATGAAAGAGAAGGCGGACTACGAAATCTCCTTAATTTTGGCCATTCTATCGGCCACGCCATCGAGGCAATCCTCGCCCCACAAGTTCTTCATGGAGAATGCGTTTCCATCGGAATGATCAAGGAAGTGGAACTCGCTCGCTATCTGGGAGTTCTTAAAGGTGCCGCCGTGGCTCGTCTTGCCAAATGTCTGACGCGATATGGACTACCTACATCTCTCAAGGATGCCCGAATTCGACGTTTAAGTGCAGGGAAGAAATGTCCCGTTGACAAGCTTATTGCATTCATGGCTGTCGATAAAAAGAACGATGGGCCGATGAAGAAGGTTGTTCTCCTTTCCGCCATTGGCCGTACCTACGAACAGAAGGCGAGTGTTGTGTCCAACGAGCAGCTCAAAGTCGTTCTCGCACCCAGTGTCGAAGTTTACCCCGGAATCCCAAAATCACTCAAGGTTATTTGCACTCCGCCAGGATCCAAGAGTATTTCCAACAGAGCACTTGTTTTAGCTGCCCTTGGCTCTGGAACATGCCGCATTAGAAACCTTCTACACTCCGACGACACAGAAGTTATGCTTAATGCTCTAGAAGCACTAGGTGCTGCCACCTTTTCATGGGAGGAAGAGGGCGAAGTTCTTGTCGTCAATGGAAAGGGCGGTAAGCTAGATGCCAGTTCTCACGAGCTGTACTTGGGCAATGCTGGCACAGCATCAAGATTCTTGACTACCGTCGCAACCCTCTCCAATACCAAGGGAGATGTGTCCCACAACATCCTAACAGGCAATGCCAGAATGAAGCAGCGCCCAATTGGCGATTTGGTTGATGCTCTCAAAGCTAATGGGGTATCCGTTGAATACCTCGAACAACAAGGAAGCCTCCCCCTCAAGGTTCCTACATGCGGCGGTTTCAAGGGTGGAGAGATAGAACTCGCTGCTAAGGTATCATCTCAGTACGTCTCTTCTTTACTGATGTGTGCACCTTATGCCAAGGAAAAGGTTACTCTCAAGCTTGTTGGAGGAAAGCCTATTTCTGAGACCTATATCTCCATGACGGCTGCTATGATGAAATCTTTTGGAATCAGTGTTGAGAAGTCCACGACTGAAGAATATACCTATCACATCGAGCAAGGCCAATACAAAAATCCACCTGAATATGTTATTGAGAGTGATGCTAGCTCGGCAACATATCCTCTTGCCATCGCTGCCATGTCTGGAACCACTTGTACTATTCCTAACATTGGATCGAAGTCACTCCAGGGTGATGCTCGTTTTGCTGTTGATGTATTGCGTCCCATGGGCTGTGATGTTAAGCAGACTGACACTTCCACAACCGTTACCGGGCCTACAGACGGTGCTTTGAAGCCCATCGCTAACGTTGACATGGAACCAATGACCGATGCCTTTTTAACAGCTTCCGTCCTTGCAGCCGTTGCCAGAGACAAGTCCAGCAATACCACCCGTATCTACGGCATAGCAAATCAGCGAGTCAAGGAGTGCAACCGCATCAAGGCAATGAAGGACGAACTTGCCAAGTTCGGGGTTACTTCCAGAGAGCACGAGGATGGTATCGAAATCGACGGCATCGACCGTTCCGCATTGAAGGTACCAATCAATGGAGTCCATTGTTATGATGATCACCGTGTTGCTATGAGTTTTAGTGTACTAGCATCGGCAGCCTCTTCCGAGCCTACCCTGATTTTAGAGAAGGAATGTGTAGGAAAAACTTGGCCCGCATGGTGGGATACTTTGGCTCAAACGTTCAAAGTGACGCTGGATGGCAAGGAGCTAAGCAAAGGAAATGCTGAAAATCGGAAATCCTCGAGGTCTGCTGCATCTATATTCCTCATTGGCATGCGTGGCGCAGGTAAGACCACTAGTGGATATGGTATCTCCCAGGCCCTCAATCGCACCTTCATCGACCTTGACACCGAGCTAGAGAGGATTGAAGGGAAAACCATTCCGGATATTATCAAGGAAAATGGATGGGAAGGGTTCCGTGACGCTGAACTCGCTTTACTTAAACATGTCATAGCTGAGAAACCCGTTGGACACGTCTTTGCTTGTGGCGGCGGCATTGTCGAAACCAAAGAAGCGCGCGATCTCCTGATCAATTATCATAAAACCAAAGGCAACGTCTTCCTTATCATGCGCAACATCAAAAAGGTTATTGAATATCTTGAGATGGACAAGACTCGCCCTGCTTACATTGAAGACATGATGGGCGTATGGCTTCGCCGAGAACCATGGTATCAGGAATGCAGCAATCTCCAGTATTTTAGCCATCACTCAAAGCCAAGCGAGCTCGATGCGGCAATGCAAGGTTTCACTAGATTTCTCAATGTGGTCATGGGCCAAACAGATCACCTTGAGCTGCTGAAAAAGAGGAGTCATTCTTTTTTCGTATCCCTTACCCTTCCAGATCTTCTACCATGTGGAAATATCCTCCAAAGGGCCTCCTTCGGATCTCATGCTGTCGAACTAAGAGTTGATCTACTCAAAGACCCTACTTCGACTTCAGCTATCCCCTCTATCAACTATGTTGCGGAGCAAATATCCTTCCTCCGGAGCCAGGTGTCTCTACCGCTCATCTTTACTATTCGCACCAAAGCACAGGGAGGATTGTTCCCCGACAATGCCGTTGATGAGGCATTAGGGCTATATAAGCTTGCCATTCGTATGGGATCTGATTTCATTGACCTAGAAATATCGTTCCCAGATAACCTACTGCACGCAGTGACCGAGATAAAAGGATATTCCAAAATCATTGCATCCCATCACGATGTCAATGGCCAGCTCTCGTGGTCTAACGGATCCTGGATCCAATACTATAACAAAGCTTTACAATATGGCGATGTAATCAAACTCATTGGCGTTGCTGAATCTCTTGACGATAACCTAGCTTTGCAGCAATTCAAAGCTTGGGCAGAGAGATCCTACCCCATCCCAATGATTGCTATCAATATGGGCAATAAAGGGCGCCTCAGCCGTATACTGAACCGGTTTATGACTCCTGTTTCACATCCTGCTCTTCCCTTTAAGGCTGCACCAGGACAGCTCTCCGCGAAGGAAATTCGACAAGCTCTCACGCTCATGGGTGAGTTGGATGCTAAGGAGTTCGCTCTCTTTGGGAAACCCATATCCGCTTCAAGATCTCCTGCTTTGCACAACACACTCTTTGCTGAGGCCGGCTTCCCACATGAATATGGCCGTTTAGAGACAGACAACGTCGAAGATGTCAAGGAATCCATCTACTCGGAAGAGTTTGGCGGTGCTTCAGTGACTATTCCGCTGAAGGAGCGCATCATGGAACTACTGGATGAAATTTCCCCTGAAGCCAAGATCATAGGTGCCGTAAATACCATTGTTCCTATCGTCGAAGAGGGTAAAGCAACTCGGAAGTTGGTTGGATATAACACCGACTGGCAAGGTATGGCCCGATGCTTAAAGGATGCTGGAGCAATATATTTGAAAAAAGGAGAATCTGCCCTTACCATTGGCAGTGGTGGTACTGCTCGAGCGGCTATCTACTCGCTTCATAGCATGGGATATTCCCCCATCTATCTTGTTGGGAGAACGCCTGCAAACTTAACTAAACTCGCATCCAGCTTCCCAGCTGAATACAATGTCCAGGTTGTTGAGGACATCAAATCAATCCAAACCTTTCCCAAGGTAGCAATTAGCACCATACCCGGTGACCAGGAAATTTCCGAGCCTTTGCAAGAATTGATTGCCCTTATTATGAAGGATGGTCAAGAGAGCTCTGAAAAATGCATTATACTGGATATGGCTTATAAACCTGATGTGACAGCTATTGCACAGCTAGTATCACCTGCCGGTTGGAAAATTGTTAAGGGGCTAGAAGTTCTCGTTGCCCAAGGGGTCTATCAGGTACGGTTAAGGCTCCCTTGAATACGTGTGTAGTTTAATGTACAAGCTAACATTGCTTTTGGTAGTTTGAGCACTGGACTGGCCTGGTACCAGTTTATGAAGATGCATGGGTATGACTATTCCTTTGGCAACCCTTATTTCTACTTAGTACGCTAATGATAGATCCTTCCAGGCTGCCGTTATGAACAATTAAATCCATATCTTAAGCACCTGCTTGTTCCCGAGCAAGCACCATACCCAAATTCTCTCTGAGAATTTAAACTTGTTTTTTCTCCTCTCTTGAAGATATGAATTATAAACTATCTCGTTTTTCTTTGATTGGAATAGAATATAATATTGCTATTCTAGCCCTGCCTTGGTATTTAACACCTCCATCTATATACGAGTTCGTGAAGTGTAAGAATTCAATATAAACCTTGTAATGACGTCACCAAAAATCTCGCTGATGTAATCTTCCGCCTTCTTATGTAATCAAGGGATATGGTTTATCCGTAAAGGCGGTGGGAAGCAGCAGAATAATTTCCAAAAGTTTATTTTATCTCTGAAGGAAAGCGAAGATTTGATATCAAAGGCATTTTGACATTGAAAGCGTCTTATATCTTTTACACTCACTCGGTGATACCAGATACATTGTTTTTTAAATGCTTCGTTGTGGTAATGTCAAACTCAGTTGTGCTCGTTCTTCACGGGCGAGCACTGTCTTAATTTCTACCACAAGCGCAACTCCCATTGCTGCAGTCTCCCGAACCCAGCACCCTAGCTATTTTGTCCGCCATTATACCCCTTTGCGTACTTGGAAAGGACGCGATTCCAGTGGACCTAGGGGGATTAGCCCTGGTACAACACAGTGGGACACTAAAGATCGCTATGTAGCATTAGAGAAGAGGAACCGATGGCAGCGGAAGTCTCAAAGAGAGGCCATAGAAACAGCGAAGGATAAGAACTTAAAAGACCAAGAAGAGGGTGAAGGGAATGAGGATGAAGAGCATGTGCGCAAAAAGCGGGAGCCCAAAAAGAGAATGAGCCAAGCAGAGTTTGAGAGGGAGATGCAATATATCAAATATGACAGGGTGGCATTAGCTCGAAGGGTGAGCCAGTTACTCAAACTTGGCCACGAGGAAAAGGCGACTCTATTGGTTTGGGCATCGCAGAATGCAAAGATTGACTGCATTGTCTCTTGGAATACACTAATAGAGCACAAGATGAAAACTGGGCGTCAAAAGGAGGCAGTCAGGTTATTCAATGATGTAAGTCTGCTTTCCGCCATTAAACCCCACAATGTGACTGACGGCATGTTCTTACTCCATGTATAGATGAAAAAGAGAGGCCGGCCTCCAAACGAGCAAACTTTTACAATACTCCTGTCGGGACTGGCGGCCAGTTCGTCAAAGCACTCGTCCGAAACCGCCCTCAGCCTTTTTGAATCCTTGAAAAACTCCAACTCTGAGTCTAAGCCTAATATAATACACATAAATGCTGTACTGAACGTGTGCGCTCGCAACCGCGATATGAAGAGTCTCTGGGCCTTTGCTGGGGATATCCCAGAATATGGAGAAAGTGCACCGAATTCAGTCACATATACCATAATTCTGAACGCCATACGAACATCTGTACTGGAATTCACCGATACTTTAGACCCTAACAAAGGACCAAGGGCTGTCAAAGAAATCTCCAGAAGGAAGAGGATAGCTGTCTCATCCGGAAAGAAGCTGTGGGGTGAGATCATTAGCAAATGGCGGCAAGGAGACTTGGTACTGGATTCAAAGCTGGTAACTTCAATGGCCCGCCTACTCACAATCGAGAATACCGAGAAGTCATATTTGGATGTCCTACGCTTGTATAGGCAATGCATGGGCCTTCCAGTTCCACCGGCTGTTGAATCTGAAGTTATACACCCTCAAAACATACAGGAAGAAACATCAAACAACGATGAATTATTAACAAAGGAAGAGAAGAGACAGAGGGACGAAGAAAGAAAAATGCTACTACACCTATTCGATCCCGTTGACATTGCGGAAATCCGTACAGCACTGAAAGGAAAAACCGGCTCCAAGAAGAGTCCAAGTGTCAATCTTCCATCTCCAACTAACATCGAGCTGTCACTCCTGATCCAAATTTGTCAAAATATGGCACATAATGGCATGGCCAGCGGTCGGCATTATTGGACCACTCTTACTGACAATGGTGGTTACAATATCAAACCTGATTCTAGTTCTTGTCACGAATACCTTCGTCTTCTCCGCCACCATAGAGCCAGCGCTGAGTCTCTAAAAGTGGTCGAGCATTATATGGTTCCCGACAATTTAGTTGCCGGAAAGACAATTACCATCGCTCTCAGCACTTGTTCCCGCGACAGGAACAACCCAAATGTTCTCGACATTGCAAACAGACTTCTAGATATTTCTACTTTTGCTCCAGAACTGGACCCAAGCTACATACTGAGATATATAGAGCTTGTCCGGACTCTTGTTAACCGGGAGAAACTCATTTCAGACAAAGCTAATATGAACAAGATTCGACTCAAACATGCTCTTGATAGCCCGACAACTGTACTTACTGAGTTACATCAAACACGCCTTCTCAAAGCTCTTACCCATCTTAGGTTGCGTACTCAGGATGTCATCGAGCTACTTGCATTCGGTTACATTAGATACCAAAAGTTGCCCGTAGATCCGGGCTTTGTTGGTTCGTCTCTGGGCAATGGAGAAGAGCCAACCACTGCACAGAATGCAGGACCAGACGATGCAGAAAAGGACGTCACCGTACACAAGGCACTGAGGAAACTCAAAGCTCAGTCTTTTGTTGTACCAGGCAAAGCTTTCGAAGGTCCCAACTGCATTGAGTTGCTTAAAGTTTTGTGGCAGTCCCTTTCTCTATACAGAAGAATCCTCAATACTCGGTCTGTGATATCACCCTCCGAGTCCTCGCCTGAAACCTCCTCGGTGTCATCTTCCCTTTCAGACTCAGATCGAGATTGGCTCACCAAAGATTGCGAGAGGTTGTCTATGTTTGCTCCTTACTTCAAGCAGTTTACAAGCCGAGAAGTAATTGACAATGATGTTGAATCTAATCGCAATCATGGCGTTTGATACAACCATTTAAATGGTCGATATTGGAATTCGCATTGTGTTTTTAGACAAGATACCCTTCTCTCCTTGGATACATGTTGATGGATACCCGCTTCGTTTACTTGTATTAATATATATAATGATTTCTTTTCCTGTCATTAAATATACCCACCATCCAAGATGATAAAAACAGGTTTCTAGATCTCTGAATAAGCCTGTGCTTTGTGTCAATGTCGATTTTCAGACCTGTTTGAGCCGCATTATTAACTAGCATTATGTAGAAATACTACTGTGTTGATAACCATCGAAGAAGTCTACTGAAGACTGAGACTCAATATCAATAAACTGTTAATTATTTGACTTTTAATGTCTAAACGTAAGATTAATAAAATACAGATATGACTTCAACCCTTCCGTGGTCGAAGTGCAATCCATAGGTATGCAATCAATCTGGGGGAAGAATTTTAGACCGTAAAGCAACAACAAAATTTCCTATCTCCCGTAATTTAAAAGCAGAAGACCTGTATAAGCCTCGGAACATATGAAAGCAAAGAAATAAAGTTGAACAATCAGGAGGAAATCTAGGTATTCGGATGGCCCGGTTGTGTTTTTAGTTCGAACGTGGAGAGAAAGTAAGGATTAAAGGGAATAAGAAAATCGAGCCGAAGGTGACATTACTGTCTATCGTGCGGAATCGAGATGACGGTATTTGGTCCTTAGGACGGTAATCTGAGAGGTATCGACATATTGAGGCAGACAGTTATCCTCAATACAGTTGAATCGAAAGATTGAAAAGCTGATCAGGCAGTACTACATGATTTACCATCGTCGATGGTTTCCAAGAGGAGCAGAGTTAGAGGCAGTGAAGCCACCACGGCCACGGCCACGGCCACCGTAACGGCCGCCACCACCGCCACCACCATAGCGAGCCATCTCAGCAAGACGGGGGTCAATTTGCTGCTTGGACTCGGTGAGAATTTTAACCAAATCACGGGCTTGTTTAGCATCTAAGTGATAGTTAGTCATAGTATCTTTATGGGGATGAATATGGAATAGGAGATAGAAGTATACGTACTCTCAGTGGTGAACAGGGTGATGGCGGTACCATTGGCACCAGCACGGCCAGTACGGCCGATACGGTGGACATAGTCTTCCGAGTTATTCGGATAATCATGGTTAAGCACATGAGTGATATCGCGAACATCTTCACAACACTGGGGTTAGCAGACATTAAAGATAGACGAGAGAATCAAATGGCCATGGCCCTGTCTCCGTCGTGTGGGACTCGATGCATAACTCTCTCGGACTGATTTCAGAATCCACCTGTTTACGAGTCCATGGCTTGACAGTTACTCTTGGTCCTGGATGAATTTAGAAACGCAGTTTGAAAAGTTCAGACAATAGAACTCTGCCTCTCTCCTGGCGTGGATGAACAGATTGGAGAGGCATAATCAGAAGCACGGCATGCTACACTGCATCCTAAAGCCAAGGATTCCTTGGGTAGGGAAACCATAAGGAAGGCCCAAGTAGTCATGTTTACCAACATGTTATGAGAGCAAAGCATTTGAGTCGATCACACGACATCAATATGGGTTACATGTCAATAGCATTGGTTCGAGATAGAGCAATGTCTATGACATGATGGAAATGGGTTTGGAGAGGGGGAGAAAGGGGGGCTGCAGATTTATCATACCAATACCACGCGAAGCTACATCTGTAGCCACCATGATCGGGCTCTTGCCGGTCTTAAATTCGTTTAATACCCAATCACGTTCATTCTGTTGCTTGTCACCGTGAATAGCTAAACCCGCATATATTAGTAAATGATTCAGGTTCATAAAAGAAACAAGGCGAATATGGTTGATAACTTACATAGCGCTGGCCAGCCGTCTTGACGGAGAAATCGTGTGATGTCATCAGCGACACGCTTTGTACCTGTGAAGATAAGGACCTTCGATTTCTTATCTTCCATGATGCGTTCGAGATGCTTTATCATTCGATCGCGCTTCTCAAACTCAGACACGACCTCAACGATTTGGGTAATTCTATGATTAGCAGACAAGTCTTGAGAACCAATGTACACCTGTATGTAATCTTGAAGGAAGTCGTTAGCCAGCTGGCGGACATCCTTGGGCCAAGTAGCAGACCACATGCAAGTCTGGCGATCGGGGCGAATCTGGCTGATAATTTTACGGATTTGAGGCTCGAAACCCATGTCCAACATGCGGTCAGCCTCGTCGAGGACAAGGTAGGTAACTCGTCGAAGGTTAGTTCTTCCAGACTCGAGCATATCGATAAGACGACCAGGCGTAGCAATGCAAACTTCGACGCCTCGTGTCAAGTCACGTATTTGCGGGCCTCTAGGGACACCACCGTAGACACAAGTGTTCCGAATACGCGAGGACTTTCCAAATTTAGTAATTTCAGCCTGGATCTGGACAGCTAATTCTCTGGTTGGCGCGAGAACCAGGACGATAGGGCCGTCACCTGGGGCAAGGAGAGGCTGGGCGTTGATGTGCACGATAGCTGGTAGGCAATAGGTCAAAGTCTTTCCGGAACCAGTCTCTGCAATACCGACAACGTCACGTCCAGAGAGGGCCATGGGCCAACCTTGAGACTGAATCGGAGTGGGTTTGGCGAACCCTTGGGCTTTCACCTCAGACATGACATACTGTGGGAAACCAGCCTCGTCGAAGGTCTGAACGGGGCGTGGGACATCCTTTCCGTAGACAGTCATTTCGTTTTCTTTTCGGAAAGCCTCGACTTCCTGGGTGCTTCGGGCGGAGACATCTGGGTGCTCCTTGTAGAAGGACTTCTCAAACTTGGGCATGGAGCTGAGATCTAGAAATAAGCAAGTTAGCGACAACGTTTTCAAATAAGATAATCGTATTCCCCATGATAGGCAGACATACCCCATTGTTGAGTCTTCAAGCCAGCCCCGAGGTTCGACATTCTGTCACCGCCGGCACCACCTCCATAGCCGCCTCCAAAGCCGCCTCCATAGCTGGGGCCGCTGGAGTGTCCGTTGGAGTATCCGCTACTTCCACCCTGATAACCGCCGCCACCCCTGTATCTTGAATGGGTTAGTGGACGTCTTAGAACGAGGCTCCCTCTTCCTTGCTCCGCGAAGAACAGAGTCGAGAGATTCTGCCACTACTCCTGGACGGCTCCTCCGTCCAGCGAGAGACTGACAGACCCTTCAGAATAGACCAGCTTATGCTTACCTAGAGTTATAACCACCTCCACCACCCTGGTGGTCTCTGTAACCGCCACCGCCGTAAGACATGATCAAGGGATTCAAAGGGGGAGTAGAGCGGAAAAATGATAAATAGCAGTCACAGCCTTTTTTTCCGGAATAGATCAGAAAGAGAATATGGGTGTGAAAAAAGGCCGGCGAGTTGGGGTGTTGGTTGTTGATGAGATGAGGTTGAGGCGCGGCGTTGAAATAAATATTTCGAAGCGGAAAAAAAGTTTCTGAGTCTTTTTTTTTTTTCAGTCGAATTTTTTCTTTTCAAAAAGTCAAACTGAGTTTTCTGCTTATGTCATAATCACGTGTATTCATTATATAATCATGATTAGTAAGCGGTTTTGTATAGAAACCGGGAGGCAAAAAGAGACAGAAGCATTCACACTGCTATTATACCTGGCCGGTGTTTCTTTTATTTAACGAGTATATGTGCTTTTTTTGTGATTCATATACTTTTTCTCTTGTATCTATATTCTCAGTACCAGGGCCGCTATACGGGGCAGAATATGCAGGATTTGCGCTCAGCTACTCCCCCCTCAAACCCATATCCCAGAATCCTATCTCAAGCTCCGTGGCTCGAATAAATATCTGGACCAGTTCTTCCACGCGGAAAGGCGATATTTGTCTTGAATGCTTCTCGAGTGTGGCTACCAGAGTAAGCCAGTTAGAGGTGCTTTAACAGAAACATCTAAAGATGGTATGTAGGTAAAAGTTTCTCACCTGAGCCTAGCTTGACGGCTGCAGAGTAATCGTCTGCAACATAATTTTCAATCCATTTCCAGTAGTTATTGCCTTCTCGAACGCTTTCTTCGGCATGGAAGAGCCGCTGGGCTATTGCGCCATAGCCGAGAAGGCAAGGAGCAAGCGCAAATTGGAGAGCAAGCCAGTCACCCGATTGGCCGATATCGAGGATATATCGGCTGTAGGCCGTGCACGCTAATAAATGGTCAATACTCGTCCCAAGGGAGGGGCAATCGGTTGATATAGGACTCACTCAAGCTCTCTTTCGAGCTTTCGATATCCTCTTTTGATAGGCCAAATGAGGCGCAGTAGTCGAGATGCAGTTTCATCTCATGTTGGATATGGAGGACAATTTGGGCAGACTAGAATAAAATTAGCAGATGAGGTCCTTCCTTTGATGCATAGTTCCCTACCATGGCAATTTCGTCCACAGTATGGCTTTTGTAGGCAGCCAGCGCATTGCTTCGTGCAAAGTTTACCTGTTGACGGTGTTAAAATGCGTCATAGACCAGCCCTCCCGATTGGCATATCACATACTAGATATAGATAGTCTTGAACAAGGTACCATTTAAAATTCTCAACAGGAAGCGCCCCAATGGAAAGCTTCTGCACAAACTCATGCTCAGTGAAAGCTTGCCATACTGGCTGAACATCTGGCCGCTCCAGGATATAATCTATAAAGTGCCCACTTTCATGTTACGTTAGTAACAAGGATACAAACTCCCACAATTTTACCACTTACGGCGCATAAGGGAGCGAATAGAGGGAATGGAAATGGTTAATGGGCCCATTTCCCTTTCCCAAATCAGTACTGGTGTTAATCCCAGCTTCAACATATCGACATGCCTCCCTCACCGCCCGTGTGATTTCAATCTCTCCAGCAAGGTTAGCTGCAATTGCAGATGCAAGGGAACACCCGGTGCCATGGGTGTTTTTAGACCTTGAAAAAGTAGCTTCCACTAAAGACACTGTCTGGCCGTCGTATAGTATATCAATAACAATAGCTGCATCTGCATCCGACGTGGGCTTCTCTCGCTGGGCGTTCAGAGGGAGATGACCGCCCTTCAATAGGATATGCCTGGGCCCAAGTTTATGGACCTGTTTTGCGAGGGCGATTGCATCATGCAGATTCTCTGGCTCCTTAACATCCACACCGGAGTCTCGAAGCAGAAGAACCGCCTCTGGGATATTGGGGGTTAGGACTGTGGTATATGGCAGCAGATGTTCTCGCACTGCTTTAACTGCATTTTGTGGCAGCAGTTGTGAACCGCTGGTAGATATCATAACCTTCATGTAAACAATTAGACCCTAACAGTCTTTCCCACGGTTAGGTCAATGAACATACGGGGTCTAATGTGATTGAATGCACTTTATGAGCTTTCAATTCGTCCGCCACCATTACTGCTGTTTCGGCAGAAGCCAGCATTCCTGGATATACATGTATTTTAGTATTCAGCGAATGGTTAACACATCTTAATGTCAAGGCAGAAATATGAGATGATGGGATCTTGCCAACGCACCAATCTTGACCCCATCGGCCCCAACATCTTCTAGGCCGGCTTTAATCTGCTTTCTTACGAACTCTGTCGGCACAACATGGATATCCTGAACCCCGAGGGTATTCTGCGCGGTCAATGCCGTCGTTGCAGTGAGTGCATAACAGCCATGGGCAGTGAGAACTCGCTGGTCAGCCTCCAGGCCACTATTCGGTGATTAACATCAGTCAACGCTTCTGTCCATGAACAGCGCCGATACTTACGCTCCTCCCGAGCTATCTGAGCCTGCGATAACGAGGACACGCTTCGGTCCCATATTTGTTCCCCGCAGTGTTGGTGATTGAACGTCCCGCCTTGGTAGAAACGACGATGGATATTTTACTTCGATATTAGTTAAACCCTGCCTCGGCATGACTAGCGCTAGCTTGACACCATCAGACACATATCAAGTTGAATCAAGAAGAAAAGCCAATGTTACTTGTTCCAGCCCCCTGAAACATATAGGAGCTATAACTATTTGGTGAGAAATATACGCTGTTGCCTGGGTGTACAGAAACACATTACACAAACCCCATTTCGAAGCAAGGATAGGCCTACCAATTCTCGCAGCAAACTGATTGCTAACTCTACTAAGCAGAATACATTATCGAGAGGAAAGTGACGGCGAAGAAAGAATACATTTTGAATAAAACAGTTGGAAGAGCTAAACTCGCATAAAACAAAAGGGGACTCAAAAGGGAGGTAATGAATATATTAAAAGCACCAACAACAGCAAGCAGTAATCAAGCAACCAAAGGCAGAGAAAAAAGGCTTCAGAACCATGCAAAAACCACCCAACCAACAACCAGCAACCCCTGGCAGGAAATCAAAAGAACGCAAGAAGCAAGCGAATTTGGGGAATAAAAAGACAAAAAGAACGTTACGCCTTCTGACCGCCGCCCACCGCCACCGTTTGCCTCTAGAGTTGTTACCAAGGTATATCGGTTTCATTCCAATTGCTCGTGAGTATTAAAAAAAAGGCCTTGAGTTCATGTTCCTTTTTCCCCTTTATACGGGACTGTCATGTGTTTGTTTTGTGGTGTGTTTTCCTCCATTTCCCTTTCGCTTCACTGGTTCCTCATACAGGGCGAAGACATCCTCCTCTATTTGATTTGAGATGGGTTTAAGTGCAGAAACAAAGACAGTAAAGAAATGCAAGAAAAGACGACCAAAAGATATGAGATGAAAGGCGAGATGGATATCAAGAGTTGTAATAGAGACATAATAGGGCCACCGGATTAGTTGAAAGGGGCGGCAGGGTAATGAAGATATTCTGGGAAGGAAGTGTAGAAGGAATGAGGAGAAATGTGAGTGAGAGGCCCCGGCTCCCAGCAAACATATTAGGATTAACTAGTTATTTCTCTCCCCTTTCTTCATCCAGGATGTTGGGTTGGGCGACGGCGTGTAAAATAACAAGGCAAAAAACTAGGGTGGTAAAAAGCCATTGCTGGGGATAAAAATTTATGTAAGGTAAAAAATTTGCCGGGCACAGGGGAGAAGGGGCGTAGAGGAGAGGGTATGGTCGTGGATAAACGCAATTAGAGTAATTGGAGCATCAACAGACAAGTGGGAGAAGGTGTTTTAATAGCGTAAAATGTAGGGTCAAAAGGGGGGAGTGGTGGGAGGGGGGTATTCCGCAGTCTTGATTAGATTAATTTATGGATAGTTGTTGGACTGGTTCTCTGGGACAATCATGTTAGCGTTCAGCATCGCCAATTAGATGAGTTGGATCAGCATCTTGCTTTAAATTGCCCCTTGGTGTTAACTTCGCTTTCCGAGAAGACAACAGGGCATGATATGTAAGGCGAATGTTGCCCAGTTAACTTTCTTGGTTGCCAGATCTCACCGGGGTTGTGAGAATACGAATAGTGGTTGAATATACAACCGATAATTTGTAGCTTGGGCAAGGGCAGACAACCGGCAAGTAATGAGGATAAACATGAGGGTAGGGGGAGATTAAAAGAGTATGCATGAGAATAGGGAAGAGGTAGATAACAAAGAAATGTAGAAAAAAAGGGTCGTGACATCACTCACGTGGTGGTTGTGGGTAGACCTGGCTGCCCTGACCATAAGGAGAATGGGGGTAACTTGGAGAGTAGGTAGCAGGCATCTGGCCATTGCCAGGTGGATAGACCAAACCACCAGGAGGAGCACCATACTGACCTGGCACTTGACCATCTGCTGGCTGATAGCCTATTGGCGGCAGCTGAGGCCGAACACCAGCAGCGTAGGAGGTAGTTGGCTGGCTGGGCTGGCCGCTACCACTCGGAGTGCCATTGCTATCAACCTGGTTGGCTTGGGCTGCAGCCCGTTCTCTCTCCTCGGCAGCCTTGCGCTGATTATCTTCTTCCTTCTTGCGAGCTTTCCATTCCTTGCGGATCTCTTTGAATTCTATAAAGTAATAACAGCCCGTTAGTCAAATAATAATAGCTAGATGGGAGACAGAAGATGTCAAAAGTGAAAGTTGGTGCTAGCTTTAGCACAGTCTTGGCACAGTGAAGGGTAGGTGCTTAAGCTTTGGGGTTGGTTCAGACGCTACTGCACACTCCACCAAGATGCAGGCTTCGAGCAGCAACCCAGCCTTCTGTTACACAGGCTAAGGGATGCAAGGGGGTAGATAGGAGAGAGACAGCAAGGAAAAATAGAGTGACCTCTATGAGACACAGGGATAGGAGAATAAAAAGGGAATACAAACCATCTGGAGATCTCTTAGCGCCGTGTGACTGCATTGTGACGTGTGCATTGAGATGATTTAGTGTGCCATAGGCCTTTTCACAACCATTCCAGCCGCACTTGTACATCCTCTCAATCTCTTCATATCGTCGTCTAGGCCGCTTGTGTTGTTGAGAGCCAGGGATAGGCACAAAAGAGAAAACCTGGGATCTATAATGAGTCTAATGCAAGACAAGAAAGAAGAAAACGCATCAGATGGCCTGTTCAGTCCACTGGTGGTTACAAGGCATAAGAAACTTGCCCTCCAAGGAAAAGTGAAGGGGGGAGGAACATTAAAATGGAAGGTTCCGTACCTGTCCAGGTCGTGGCCCAGCGGTGGCAGCGGGGGAAGCTGAACTCACCGAAGCCGGGGAACTATAAGGGCCTGGCATTCCAGGTTGATGAGCGCCATACTGGTGTGGCCAGTCTGGTCGCGCGTACATCTGCGGAGGGTGACTCTGATATTGCGCCATGTCGTGACTCTGAGGAGCGTAGGGAGAATATGGTGGAGGATAGGACGGACTCGAGGCTGCAATCGAGGGATCTATAGGAACCTCGGTGTCAGACTTCACTTGCGCGGGACTTCGATGGTCACTCTGTTGCCCATCTTGCGGGTTCATGGACGGACTTGTTGCTTGAGCCATACCTGGCGGCCCGCCGGCTTGAGTATGAGGAGCGTGATGGTACTGGGGCTGGCGCGTCAGATATTCGGGGTAGGGAAGACGGGCGCGCGGCGACGGAGGCGGTGTTGGATGGGAAGAGTTCTGATGCAAGTTGTAGTCTGGCTGGGGGGTATTGGAGGCCGAGATACCGCCCCGATCGAGGTTCTGGAGGCGCCCGAGTACTGGGACTGAGGCGTTCGACGAGCTTCGGTTTGGGTAGGGGATGCGACGGCAGCAGAAGCAGTTGCCTGATCTGCGGTTGATTGTTCAGACTGTGCCTCCGGGAGATTTGGATATTGAGGGCTCAAACCTGGCTGCGCGTAGTCGGAGGCAGGCCTGTCCATATAAGATAGCTTTGGCCGCGTGATGTTCAACGGTAACGAAACTTCCCCTGGTGTTATTCTTCTGGCTCTCTCTCCTCCAACGAGTTTTACCTCAGAACCGGGGGAGTAGGAGCAGTAGTCACAAGCAGGAGCCAAAGACCGAAGAGGTTGGTGCGCGCCAATGGTTTTATTTGTCGAAAGGAGCAAAGACGGCAAATGAAAAGAGTGATAGAAGATAGGTTTCGAAGCTTGTCCTGGTAGAGTGCTCCGTTGAGAAGACTGGTCCAGCGATGGCGAGGGGGAAGCTAAGAAGTCGGGGGTTCTTAGCGGGTAGTTGGTAAGTCGAGTGAGCAGATGGTGAAAAGTAGTCGAAGAAGTAAAAAAACAAAGATGGACTTTGACGCGCCGAACTGCTCGTGGAAACGAACTAGGGTTGGATTTAAGAAGTAGTTCGAAAAGGGCTGGGGGGATGAACGAAGGATGGTTTGGCCCTTATTGTTGCTTTCGTCAAGAACGGTCGCGTGGAGAAGGGGCTGCTTCTTTTTTTTTCCCTTTCCTTTGCTGCTGAGTGTATCCGCTATATGCTTTTTGGATATGCACTTCTCAAATATAGCGTGCTTAAGTGCCCGTTGTCCGTCAACTTTAGGGGGAAGAAGCCGCGTGAACCAGGGAGAAACCGGAAAAGTTTAAGCAGGTCGCAAGCGAAAAAAAAAAAAAAAAAAAAAAGGAATAAAAAAAGATTGACCCTTGGGAAAAGGACACCAGTACAAAGAGAGTATGGCTTTATTTCCAATCGGGACGTCTAGACGGTAGCGTGTGATGCTATTTCGTTGCTGACAGCACCTGGTGATCGATTCGCAGTAGCGCCAAAGTCAATGGGAATAGAAGAAACCAGGAAGTAATAATAGCGTCTGTTTCGAGATGAAAATGCGACACTAAAAAAGGAAGGGTTGGAATGTTCCTAGCTGCACAGGAAGGGGGGATTTTTTTCGGTGGTGGTCGTAGTGCTGAGACAGTGGCAAGGCGGCCGGCTTTTGACCAAAGAAAAAATAAAGTCCAAACCTCCCAGCTGTCCGTTTTAAAAGGGTAGTTTGGAGCGTCTATCAAGGGTGGGCCTTTGGGGAGAGAGTCGGAACGAATGAAAAAAAGATAATCTCTTTGCTTTTTGCCTGGCTTGTCCGTTTGGGTTTTGCACCGAGGCGATGGCCCAATTGCTTGGGGGAAAAAATAATAGGGATCCGCCAAGTGGACCGCTCAAGGAGGTTGGTGGTAAATTATGGATTTGATGGAGAGTTATATCTCTTCCAGTGCCCTTTTTTTGTTTTTTGTATCTCCTTGCGGGCTGATAAAGAGGTGGAAAGGAAGGTTGAAGATGGAGTCAAAAGATGATGGATGAGCAAAAAAGGAGTGGCAGCACTATTGGCCGTTTCTTTGCTTCTCTTGTCCTCGCTATCTCGTTCTTGCTTATGTGAGCCTAATCACGGAGATTAAGTAGAGAAGAAGGGAGGCTGTCGAGTGAGAAAAGGAACTGTACGGAGTACCAATACTTGTTCGATGCAGCACCTGATAGCTGAGCTGAAGGAAACTGATACTGGCGTCAAGATGGCGTTTTGGCGGCTTGCGGTACAGATACCAACTGGTCGAAGGTCAAAAGCAGGAAGATAATGCTGCTTGTCCTTACAAAAAAAAAAAAAAAAAAAAAAAAAAAAGGAAGAAGAAGAAGAAGTTAAAAGGCGTGTGGATCGTCTGGTTGGCTGTGGGGACGTAATTTTATAATTCGGCCTCTCTCAGGCGGCCTTCCTTCGGTGAGGGCGCAATCACAAGCGAAATATCAAAAGAACACTCGTGCCTGGATCATCCAATCAGAGATTCCTCTCCTCTCGAAGTAGTCGGATCAATATATCGCCGTTGCTTTGATCCAGTTTTTGGTTAGTCGACGCAGCCGCTGGAGGCCGAAGTGAGGTCTGAACAACAAAAACTCGAGATATGCCAGGGAAATACGATGCCACGTCCAGCTTGTCTTTTGATAGACCTAAAAAGGAAATTGTCCTTCTCCTCCTTTTTGTATTTTAATTCTTTTTTTGTTCTCCCTTCGCCTTGGGGAAGGGGGGAGGAGGCGAGAGGTTCCGGATACCGCAGTATGCCGATGGGGGAAAGGTCGTTCTCCACCTTTGGAGCGTAAAAAAAGGTGACCGAGAACCAAGCCAGGGTTTGCGTAGGAGGGTTCGAGAAGTACGATGCGAGTGTGTGGACAACCTGTGTGGAGTCCTGCCAGTCTTGCTTTCTCTCAATAACTTTACTGATATACTTTTTGACTTCGTTTCTCTCTCTCTCTCTCTTTTTTTTTCCCCCCTGTTTGCTTTTTCTCTCTTTCTTTTCTTCCGTGATTTGATGAGTCCCAGGTCGAAATACGGAGTACGGATCGATGAGCGAGATGTTGCTGTTCAAAAGACTCCGGTCTTCTCACTTCTGTACCTTCCGTAGACGGCACAACCTTGCCCGCCGTTTAAATTTCTTTTGGCCTATTTGCTTTCGTTGACGTTGGAATCGACTGTGCGAAGCGCTTCTTAGAAAGACAGCGGTTTAGATCCCTGTCCAGGTCAGCCCTGGCTAATCAATTTTAGAAGCCAAAAAAAGGAGTCTAGCAAGGGGTTGGAATTAGCATCAACTCGTGGCTGGAAAGTATTTATATGCAACCAGGGGTACTCGGACATCTGGTAGTAGCCCCCTCCCCTTGAGAGCTCAGGGCTGCTGGTGCCTTTTGATTCCAGCAACGCGCCAGCGGGGGACGAGGAGAACTCAACTCACCTCACCTCTACGGAGTAGTATTATTTACAACCGCAGTATACGCCGTACTAGTGCGCCCACTAGCGTAACCAACAACGCCCAACCAGCGCTGGAGAAAAAGGGGAAAAGGAAAAAAAAAGAAGCGTGAATGTAACAAACTCGCTGCAGGATGGAGGTTGAGGTTGGAAGCAAAAAGTAATGACTAAGGAAAAAAAGAGAGCCGGGAGGTTGTTTTTGTTTTCTTTTTCGGGTTAGAGCGGTCACGGGACAGGTCACGAGCCTACGGAGTAACTATAACCCGCTCCTGGTCTCGTGACAAACCCCGTGACGTGCTAGCCCCTTTTTGGGCGACTCCACGCAGCTTCTTCAGCCTTTCCAACCTCAACCTCATCATCTCTGCTTTCCACGACGACCAGGCCTCGCATGCATCACGTTCAGGCGCTGCATTGTGTGCTTCAAGAGACCGCAGAACATAACCTGATGTCGGGGAGGATGGTCCCCGATGTCCTCCCCGCCCAACGAGCGATCGATGCAGCAGACCAACCAGGAACCAGGCCAAGTCCATGCACCATGGGTTAGGACCCCAGTGTTACAAGCTCGATACAGCCCATAAAGTATACTTCCTGCAGGCTTGTCTTTGCCGGGATTAAACTAATGCCCGTTAATTATTTCCACTCTGGCCTGGCCGAGCTGTTGCTCGTCGTGGATCATCCCTCCTTTCGCTGGCCATCGGTCCTCCGCCGACCGTACGGAGAAGAGAGGAAAAAGGAAAACGCTCAGAAGTAAAAAGAAATGAGAAGAAAGGGAACAGGAGAGAAGAAAAAGAAACGAGAAGAACAAGAAACATTAAGGGAGGAATAAATCTGGGGCTTAGCGTTACACTCTTTCCACCAACCAAAAAAAGATTGAACAAGCATGCATCGACAAAGGTCCTTTTACACTGCAATCAATCGTTTTTGAACCAAGCTCCGTATGAAGTTGCATCCAACTGCCGAGTGGGACTGGGACTGCACACCTCTTCTTCTTCTCTTTTTATTTATTTTTTTTTATTTTTTTTTTTTTTTTGCGCCGACACGGCCGCAGGATGGAGGGATGTGTACGGAGTACGGAGGGTGAGGATGTCGGGTTGGAGCATCCTGCATGGGTGTTTAAAAAAGCTGTCCTCCATAGGGGTCTGTGTGTCCGCTTCTCCTACAAATGGAGTAAGTAGTCTCCTTGTCCTGGTATGAGTTGGCTGACTCAATATCACAAATTAAGTGCTCCCGTACATCCATCCTGGCTATATGTCAGGGATCTGGTTAATTACAAAACACTAAAGAAATTCTCCGGCAGACTAACAACCGTTTAAGCTGCTTCTTTTCCCCTTCCTCCCCTCACACTGCACATCAGAAAGGGCTGCAGAAACAACCATGGGGATGAAATATAGATTGCCCAGAAGGTGAGACTCAAGGTCATATATAGGTCTATTTATTCTGGACAACGGTTCGGCCTGTTCGTGACGAACGAGGAATATACTCCGATACCGCGTTAGAGCACCCCAGTCTGAGTGTCATTAAAGTGACCCTGTTCCTTTCTCCTCAAGATTGCGCAGCCCATCGACGTATGCACCATGTGAGGGTGACTTTGTGCGGGCTCAGGAGGATTCGAGAGGCACTGTCCTCCCCTTGGGGAGCCTGCACGAGGTCACACGCTGTCGACTGCTGGGAGCCTGGATGAATGTGGCCCATAAAATCTTCCATGGACTTGGGATCGCACGCCCGATGCACGTTTCTGACTCAGTTTGTGTCAAAACATATCTTCATTTTCCCTTCATCCTTCCTTCCCCTCAACCCAACTCCACTCTAGTTTTTCTCAGAACCGCGATTAACCCAGCCAAAAAAAAGAAAGAAAGAAACAAAGAAAGAATCATGAACTCGCAAGGGCATAATCTCGCGGCTCAGTGCAAGCGAGGGTGGCTCGTTAGTTTTCGCTTCAGGAACAGGTAATTACAGACACAACCACCTTGCAGAGTCTGGAGACTTGAGGCACACCCCCGTCGGACGCAGAATTATTTATAAATACGGGGTGGTGTTCTTAGTAACGAGTCTCCCATATATTAGCATTTGCCAAAACCCCAAGAGGCCATGCGCAACAAGCTTTTCGACCAGCTGAGGTTTAATCCAGGCCGCGGCCGCTTCTGACGAAAGGTGGATGGCTGACTCTTGACCCTCCTTGACGGTCCAAAATCTAGCCTCATGGCCACATCCTATTAGTGCCTTCGAGTTATCCACAGCATTCCATCTCGACAAAAATACGAAGTAATGGAAGTTCATTTGCTCAAGATAAGAATTCGCTCTGTTGAAAATAGAAACCAATCCTCAGTGTGCCGTCCCAGGCATCCGGAGTGGACATCTGTGCCAACACACCGTGGCACGGAGGACGATGTACGGATCACGGAGGCAAAGCTTTCGACATCTCGTTTAGCCCATTCCACCTTTCCAAAGTGATGGAACTCGTGAAACAAATGTTCCCCCTTGCGCTTTGCACATATGTAACGGCAGTTGCGGTATTCTTTTCTCTGAGACTCGGTTACTCAACAATTCACGTCTCCAACGAATGATATCCTGTATACGCCGAGGTGTGGACAGTACTCGGTTTCAAGCCTCGCTCCCGAATTGTCGCCAACAGACTACTTTCATTCTCGTGACGTATATACATACATAGCTAGATTTTCGAGCCTCAGAGCCAGATCTACGATCATCAGGCACCAAGCTTCGACCCCCTCACTCTCTGAACAAGAAAAAGGGTACTGGCTAGCAGGTGGGAACTAACCCTAGTGTACCATTCCCGAGAGCTGGTTAATCAATCTTGTCGCAGGCTGTATGTTTTAAAACTAACAGCCATCATGACCTGGAGCAGGCAGCATTACATGGCATGTATACGGAGTATGCCGGCGTTAAAACCTCACCTTCGTTGTCGAGCTGATACTGTGGCGGGAGGGATTCATCTCGTGTCAGCGCAATGCCTTTAACCCGTACAGTGATCATCGCCTGGTCTCCGCAGTACACATACTACTGAGAGGCCTTATGCAGTTCTCTTCATATGTATGGAGTAAAAAAAATGTACCTCTTCGAAATCACTCAAGCTCGGCATGTTCACAGGATGACCAAGACCCGCGTTCCTCTCCAAGGGAACAAGGGAAGAAAACAGGTCAGGGGCCGAACTGTTGCATAAGTACTCGGTGTGCATGAAATCATCAGAGGCAGCCCGTTGCCCAAAACGGCAGAAGAATACGGAGGAGGCTTGCTCTCCCATCCAAGGTACTCGATTACCCTTTTCTCGTCTATGCATGCCATATTAAACAAATTCAGTCCAATTGCACTTTTTGCCTCTATCCCACGTGTCAGAAGGCATAAGTAATCCAGTTCGGATTCTTCTGGAACGAAGGGTGAATTGTTCTCTTGACTTTTATTTCCTTTTGAGAAAATGAAGAATTATCAATTCAAACGGTCAACATTCTTGCTTGGTGACACAAGTCGGCTGATAACAGCAGACGAAGAGCAAGGGTCAACGATCCAATCGTGCATTCTATTATCTATGACTCTGGCCACCACCGCCACCCTGAACCAAAAAACTTCAAGTCAAAACTCCTCGGATCCGGAAACCTTTTTGATCCCTGCTCGCTGCGGCATTAGGGAGGAGGACAAAAGGGAGGAAAGGTGAGATGAGAGGCGGCTGTCTAAGCCAATTGGCATCATGCATTGTTCCTGAGCTTGGGTTTCCCGGAGGGCGTAACCCCCTTAACCCAACCTCGATCTCAACCCATCATCCATGCTATGCAAGATGAAAAAAAAGGTGTGCCATCACCAAAATTTAACGAGTGTATACGTAAGTCTTCGGCAGAGGGAACGGAGTATTACGAAACAATATACATCCGGCTCAAGCTCCCGGTACAACCATAACAAAAGTTTGGAAATCGGATGCAGAGATACAGAGCACGCTGAAAAGTCAAGAAGGGGATATATTTTCCGCTTCCAGGCTTCTTCCGGTCCCTTCCCCTGAACAGCTCAAACAGGGGCAACATCATGACCTCGAATTATGGCGTTATCATCAGCAATTACGGGATCTGTCGAATGATATGGATTTACAACTACTCCGCAATGCTGATACTTTCCAAATTCTCCCTTTTGCCTCACGGCAAGAAGCACATCCGCTGACCTGTTTACCTTTGGCCCCTCAAGTCTGTGCGAACAACAACTTGTTGACATCTACTCAGAATTTCTGTCGCTAAAGTACTCTGTACGGGCATGTCTCTCTCGCTCTTCTTATTATTAGGAGCCCAAACTACCCTGACCCCAGCACGGCTTGCTCGTGTTCTCGCCGGCGTTCAAGAGTCTGCCAATAAAGAAGGGCATGTAAAATTGAGGGGTGGGTGTTCAACAGCTGAGTACGGAGTGATGGAGTTCATATACGGAGTACGGGTGCATGTCATGACATCACCTTCATTGTTCCGCCAGTCTTGCATGCAGGGAGAGTGTTAAGACCAATTGTATGGTACAACGGCAGGAACTCGCCGAACTCTTCCATCCAGCTTCTGGATGTGCAACGTTAGTAGCGTACTCTTGTTCTCCCCATGATCTTCCACGTTTCGAGCAACCTGTTAGCTTGTCCTAGCGCTTTCGTTAGTTAGGGAGACGAAGCTCAATATCAAGCCACGGGAACTAATCATTCCTTCTCTCAGAAAACTACAGATATTATTCGAATAGAATCAAGCAAGGGAAAAAAAAAAAAAAAAAAAAAAAAAAAAAAAAAAGGAAAGAAAGCCAATCAAACGCAAGGAGAACTTTCTTTTTGTCATGTTCTCCATGCTCGTCCGTATTTCATTGATTCGCCGGTCAAGGACAGTTATCTTCGAAGGGACAAGGAAGTGTCACTTCCTTTTTTTTGCGGAGATACGCCAGGTAAAAGGATTTGATCCTTTAAACGTCTCTGGTCTCCCAACCTTGTTTTAAATGGGATGGAAAGCTAATGTGTGCAAAAATAATGTTGGTTGAAACAGGAATAAGCGAATGAGGGACAGACAAAAGTCCCAACAACTTCAGGTCGCAAGGGACGGCATCCCGATTTCCTGGGAGCATGCGCACTTTTTATCATTGGCCGCCTCCTTTGGCAATCTGGGCTCAGGGTAGAGCTGCCTAATTGATACCGTTTCCTACCTTCTGAGGAAGAAGAAATAAAGGGAAGATACTCTCAAGATGCTGATGATGAACGGTAAAGCTGAAGCCCATGTAACGAGACAAGGGAGTAGAATGGGTCTTCTACAAGAGCAAAGGCCCCCAGGCTATTCGTCTCTACGAGCAGGCTCCAAGCATGCTAAGGTAAAAACTGAGCTTCCCTACATCTGGTCTGGGCATACTACCTAGTATCTGTACGGATACGCCATCACTCGGAGTAGTAGACATCTCGAAGCAGCCAGAGAGTTTGCGAAGCTTCTAATCCAGCCCCTGCCGCAACGCGGCTTCATTAGCGCATCAAAATGACATTCGATAGTTACGAGACCCCTATCTATGCATGACAGGTCTGGGTTAGCAGGCATCTCGAGGGGTGAAGGAGAAAAAGAAATGATAAGAAACATTAAAGGGGTTTGGAAAATAGGGAAAGGGAAGGTAAGAAAAGAAAAGAAAACAGCGAAAAGCTAGGCGAAAAAAAATTGATTGTCCTCTCTTGAAGGTCTATCTGGGTTTGGACTCTTCGGTACGGAGTATCCGTACAAGGTGTAATGATGTGAATGTTGGATCTTGCACCAAATTCAGATATATTGACCATTCTTCGACGTCCTTGTATATCTTTTTCCCGCAAATATTGCCTGATATACCAGGCGATCATCCCCTTTAACAGGCGATTGATTTTATTCTTTCAAGTCGTCGCCCTGGAAGGCCCCCGAGTACCGAGAAGGTCTGCCACCTCCGGAGAATGGAGATTGCCCGTCAAGCGGGAGATCTAGTTTCATGGATCGTTCGGGAATCCGATCTCTCTTGCCAACCTCAGGGCATAGATATCAGAAGACAAGGGATGCCAGTACTCAACATTGGCCAGCAATCTGGATCCTCAGATCGTCGATTAGCAGCGTGACACTATCAAACAAGCTTTTCAAATATGAAACTAATGACCAGTCGATGTTTAGTTTATATGCTGTTCATATGCTGCTGCACTGGTCCAGCCCCAGCCGGCACGCTATATGACAACTGATATTGCCCTCGATGCTTCTGGACCTTTCAGCTGTGCAACGGCAACGTCGGGGAAACGACTTGCCATATCCAATATATGCGGCGTTTCGTGTGATCCGGTGGGAATCAACGGCAATAGTCTGATCCATGATACCCCCTCACCTTTCATCATCCAACACCCTTGAAGATACAGGAGCATAGAATATTCAGGGACCTTCCTTGTGCATTTGAGATTACCGTTGAGCTGTTTTCTGGCCAAGAGATGAAATGAGTGACATTGACTGATCCGACTCTCTACCTGGTGATGGCTCACCCATGTTGAAACACATACCGGGGTAGCTCTGTACGGAGTACATGCATCGGAAATTGAAGATTGATATCTGACCAGATGTTTTTCGGAGCCCTTTTTCTGGCATTTTAGTTTATCGTTATCCGTTGTTACTTCTTATTTCTTATTTCTTATTTTTATTTATTTTTATTTATTTATTATTTTTATTTTATTTTATTTTTATTATCTATTTTTTTATTCTTATTTTCTATTTTCTTCCTTTCAGCCAGGAAGGTTGAGCCTTGCACTTGCTTGCTCGTCACTTCCAATTTGTCCTGGTTCAAGTCCATCCTGAAGTAAAGAGACAGCTCATAATACCCAGAAGGAAGAATAATGGTCATCTGCCTGCCCGCCTGACGTGGGATGGGGATGTCCCGGATCAATGGAATGTGACCATGCAATAATCGGACCATTATTTTTATTCTTGTTGACCGTACCTTTACACTAATATTGTGTGTCCTTTTTTCCCTTTGCTTGCCTGTGATCCTTTCCACACTTTTTCGGCCGGAATAGTGGTATCAAACTGTGAGTTTGAGCGCCAGCAAAGTGGCTTTGCGGACTGGTTGAGCTCCCTTGGAATGTCAATAGCTCGACACCATGAAGGTTATTTCTCCCTTGAGGGTCAAAAAACGGGATGAGGAAGAGCTGGCCTTGAATCCCGTATTTCGGGCTCTAAGGAAGCAGCTGGGTGAAAACATAAGGCTCAGGTGAGTGTCATAATAATAGGCTTGTTTTCCGGCAAAGTTCTCCCGGGCTGATTGATCGCCCTCTAGGTTCTGTCCTGCTCATGAACCCAACGTTTCTGCGGATGAAAAGAAAGTCTTCGAGTTACACCGAGACATACTTCATGCTGTATTCATGCCCTTGAAGCAACTCATCATCCACGCAACCGACATAGCATCCCGTTCGCTCCCAGATTATCTTGTATCAGACCCAGAGCTGGCTTTCCACGGTGAAGCACGCAACGCATTTACATGGCTTCGCTCTATTATTACCGACGAGCCTGACTGGTGCATGACCAACGGCTGCCCAGCCTGCGTCGTCCTTCACATCTTCCACTCTGAACCCCTGATACGCATTGTATCTGTTGCCTGTCGAGTGTCCAACTGGATGTCCCACGTCGGACTGATGGAGCCGTCCATGAAGCTACCAAATTTCAACTTTTGGACGCAGTCCCTTGCGAAGGCAGTCATTAATGACTATTTCTGGGGCTATAATTACTGGATAGAGACGTATGACCGATCAGTATACATGGATCTGAGTACTAGAAAGCTCGTCTATCAGTGCTTCGAGATCCGTGATGCTGGCTATAAGATTCCTCATCGGCCGCTGGGCTATGACCCAGGCGTCACTGCAGATGGCAGACCTAGGATCCATATTGAAGATACCCCACAGCCTTTATTCATGCCCGAGGAGAATATTGAGCATGAGAAATGGGAGGAACTTGTTTTGATGGCGAAGAAGAAAAGATCTCGCTCTCACCTACTACCTCGCACTGGAGGTCAAGGGTTTACCCCTCGAAAGCACAGTAGAAACACGGCTGTTGTAGTGTAAGTTAGAAGAGAGGCTATGTTTATTGCTCTGGGTTTTTGCCGGGCGTTAAGGAATGGATGTACGACCGGGCTCGTTCTATTAAACCGTACCGTGATGTTTCGTGTAGTATGAATTATCAGAAATTCATTTCTGTCATTGCTTGCCTGACCTGCTATATATGTAAACTCCACTTAGCCACCCCGTTTCCTGGGCGTCTATCATTGCTCAAGTACTCCTGATCCAACAGACGGCATGCGGATTATATGTATGTCCTCGGATAGGTACACCGCAGATTCAACTTCGGTTTCTTGTCTAATAGGCTATCGTGGGCGAAATGATGATACCAATAATTAGTAGGTGGTTTATAGAAAACAATAGCAGTCATCGCCCTGATTCTGGAAGAAGACACGAATCAATACCACAGAAAGGCGTCAAAAAAGTCTGATATCCGTCAGCCAGTTCGTAGGGCGTGTGGATCGCCAATGTATCTCACGACCAACTTCATTCCCTTTAACCGTATACGCATTGAGATCATATACGTGTATCACTCCGAAGCAGGGGATAAAGACATTTTGATTCATCCTGCTCTATCAATCTTCATCCTTTTAATCTGTTGATCAAAGCATTGATCATAGACAAGCTGCTGACATTTTAAACGGCTGATAGGTGTTGATGGCTCTTGGTATATCTGCGGTGGTATTGCCCGACAACCACGAGAAGAGTAAACGGTAATTGTTCCATCGTGATGACATTTGAATCATCTTCAAGAAATTGGCTGTGATAATTGCCCCTTTTTCATATAGACCATACAGGCCCTGGCATCTGATAGCTGAGATATGGTCGCGAGGCAGTTGGCATTCTCTGCTAACGATATAGAGGGGATATGGGTATCAACTGATATAATTTATTACAAGGCAGCACAGTAGTTTATATCATCGATTACTACCAAGGCAGTAATATTAGACCAACTCGCAGCTGGGTTTTGATAAATATTAGTACATTCAGGTTCGTGCTGAACAGTCTGAATTGGCCCGCCAGACGAGCCAGGATATTATCCAGACTAATTTCAATTCCTTCCATGGACATTGTTCATAAGACACGAAGGGCTTCCTCCGCATTTTGTTTCAAAAAGGCATGCAGAGCCAGTCAATCGGTTGGAGACGCGGATGAGCTGCAATGATTCAGCGGGAGTGGGACAAGCCACTCTGCAGTTTGATCAAAGGAGCTCATTAATTGGGACGCCCTAGCGAACGGGACGCAGTTCCGAGGGCAAATTGATGGCTGTATCTGCATGGTAAACGGGATGGCTAGGAATCTCTCTCGTGGGATGATGGATTGTGTTCAAAGAAAGGGTATATATATCCAGGCAACAAACAATGTGGCTGTGAAAATGCGGCCGGAACTCGAACAAAGCTCTCATCAGGACCCATGAATGGCTTGAGACTGCATCGACGTCTCCTCCAATACGGCTTGGGTGACTGGCCAGTGTGAATTGAGGAGCGGTGGATGTGGCTGTGGACGCAGCAGAGGGCAAAAAGGTGACGTCTCCAACATGGCCAAAAAAAATATATAGTTATATATCAAGACAACAAACGCCAGGGCAAGATCAAGGCACAGCCGCCACTGGCTAAGCACAGCAGCGAAAAGCATAAGCTACCCAGCGAAGAACTCAATAGAGGAAGCTTAACTCGCTTCTTGTCCTCGAGAACGGCCCAGACAGCTCTCCGTCGCATGTCTTCTTGTCTCCACCGGCCATCGATCTGGCACGGTACCTTCGTCCCGCTCGTCTACATCGAAACGCCATCGCCATCGCCATCGCCATCGCCAATGCCAACTTCAGGGGGGGTCTTCGTACCGAGGGGATGAACGCGAGCATGCGTGGCTGGCCCCAATGGTAACGTCTTGCATGGGATACGCGCAGACTTGGGCTGATGGATCTGAATCATGGGGTTTGGGGGTCTCAGCTCGCGGCCACGGTGCAGCACTTTGCGGATCACATTACACGTACAGCTGGACTGGGACATGAGAAAAGATAGGGCAAAAACAAGGGAGCTAGAGGACGGACAGACACGATGTATCCGAGCTCCTGGGCTGGAAGTACAGGGTACATGGTGGTGCGGTACTCCGTAAATACGTATTGCGGAGGGTTGGCTGGCAGGGTGCTCGTTCCCTCGTTAGGGGGTATATAGCCATAGTCTTTTTACAAGAGGGAGCTTGCCAGGAAGGATAACACAGCAAGATAAGTGAGTAACTGCGTGGTTTTGGTTAGAATTGATTACGCCTACCGCGGCCGCTAACAAGGCCCCAGCGTAGGGTCCGACGTGCCTCTAGCCACAGTCCAGGAGATAATTGACATACTAGTGATGTTCTCCACACTCTCGTGTATATTCCCGACATCCACTCCTCCGTACTTTTCTTTTGAGCTGTGGGCTCAGTTTATCAAGGCTTGATGGCGTCTCTTCCCGCTGATGCGAGGGCAAGACATGTTACTTGCGGAGAAGAAGAAGAAGTGTGTAGCTTGTTATCTGATACGGAGTACGGAGTATGTTCTGGACAAAATGGCTGGCCACGCAGGAGCCGGGTTGACTTTGGCGCGATGGCCCCCCATGCCTAGGTGGCAGACGATGGACCCTCACGAATCGATGTAAGTGATCGATTGGGATCATCGTCTATTTTAGTTGGGCGTGCTAATTGCGTCACAGTACGGAGTGCTCGGTATGGACTATCTCTTTATCTTTATTAAGATCGGTGAAGAAGAGGGTGGTGATGGAACTGCGGAGAATGCAACACTACATACGGAGTACCATGACCGCAAATCTGTCCGTATGGACGAGATAAGGATGATAGGATGCTACCGGCTGTTAGCTAGCCTACCAGCAAAGACAGGAGGAGTCAGTTGATCCAATGTTCCCCCTGGAGAACCCATATAGAGTAAAAGGAGCGGCCTAGACGTTGGCGTTCCTTGGCTGGCGGTTCGCCATCGCCCATCTTTAATTACCTCTCGATTAGGTGGAGGGGAAGGAGGAGGAGGAAGAGGAGGAGGGGGATGGGATCGAGAACCTGGCTCTGGACGAACTTTGAACTCGCTATCGAATGTCCAACAGCAAGCTGGACCGTCTGACAGACGTCAGGGCCCGGTCCCGGCCCCATGTTAGTTAACTCACGAAAAAAAGGAGAGTACGGAGAAGGTGATCTGTATGCCTACGCTTACTTACACCCGACAGCGACGGTCCTCGCTTGAGCTCTTACTCATTGCCTGACGGAGCGGCCAGCCAGCCTTCAGACGACTGGGGGAGGGAGGGGGGAGATCAAAGAAGAAGGGCAGCTGTGTGACGTGGAGCAAGCTTGGGGTGACCGACTTGGATCTGCATCCACCATGGCCCACGGCTGCACACCACTAGTGGCATTGCACAGACGCATATCCTGAGACGTACGGCGTACGGAGTACATACATGATACTTACAAGCATAAGTATATGTTACCGGGCGACGGTCACGCCAGACCCAGAACGGAGCAGCCAGGCAACGCGAGCGAGAGACAGGATGGAGGACCAGGGGCAGACGGGCAGGCAGGAGGCCCGAAACAAGCGATGTGAGGCGGACCGAACGGCACCCGGCTCGCCTGTGAGGAGGAACTCGAGGCTTTGCCAGTAAGCTCCATATGACTGTGAGACCGTGGGACTGTCTCTTGTCCGCTGCTGCTGCTGCTGCTGCTGCTGTTTGAGTGTCTTGCGTGCCCACGAGGCTGCTGGCCAGAAACTCCAGGGCCAGAGGAAAAAGCAACCTCGCTGCCTGGAGTTAACTAAGTGGCGAGACGAGTCCATGTCTGATCTATCACCCTCGACCACACCCAGCCATCTACTAAACCCCTCGACCGCACCCCGACCCGGACGTCGACTTTTCCCTTCGTTCCCAACCAACGCCGACGAACCACCCCGTCCTGCCGCCAGCACCGTCGTCTGCGGCCTCTGACTCTCAACCCCGTCGTCTTCCTCGTCCTCGCCGTCCGCCTCTTCAGTCTCTGATGTCAAATAACACT